ATTTTTTTTTAAAGTCTAAGTTGCTTACTCTTTGTTTACATTTTTTAAACGTTTACATGACACCTATAATCCGAAGCTTAATTTATAGTTTCCAGATATATTTACAACAAATACATTCCAAATTAGTTTGAGCTAAAATAATACTTTCTTTTCAGAAAGCTGTACAAAGTGCATTGTGTCAACAACATGTTACAGTATCTGTATTTATATTTACGATCGACATCCACTTTGGGGTTATTTCCTACACAAGGGAAATAATGTCAGGCACTTGAATTGGCTCTGCCAAGTCGACAAGCGACCAGGTCATTATAGCTGCTGCAATGTCAGCTTTTCCCTCAACGTTCCACGTGCGTTAAGTCACAGACACAACGAACCCCCAAACACTATTTTAGAACTGGGAATACGTGGTGCACACTCGTGTAGGTAATCCAAAGTGCTCAGTCACAAATTACAAAAAAGGAAAGGTGATGTCTTGAGAATAAATACTGTACTGTCAAATATTGCATCTCTCTTTTCCTTTTTGCTAAATGAGACCTTCTCCAACGCACGTGCTCTCTGTTTCTGCATGCATGTGATAACGATCACGGCGCTGCTGCTGAGCATAATATAATGCACTATATACGTACGTTCTGTTAATGTGCAAATTCAGTCTGGACAATTACGGATTTACTCTGCAAATATAATTTATCATTATACAGTAATCATGTTCGTATTGAGGTACACTTCGCGGGAAAGCTCCATTGAAGCACCCTACATAATCTAAACAATCACTTCAGGTTTTACTTCCTTTGGTTCAACTCTGGCTGAGCGAAACTGTAACAGTAACTAATCCAACCGAGACCCAACAACAGTGACCAGAGCAACGACAACTCAACAACTAAGGTGAAGATAACCAGTGACAATCACAACTCAACAATCAATATGACAAGGGCTATAAAGGTTCTACGACACTGACGAGCACAACATCTACTACTGCAATAATGTCAATTACAAGCCGGACAAACATGATGACAACTCAACAAGAAAGACGAAGACAACCATATAACAATGCCAACTTAGAAACAACCGCAGTGATGGCTCGATGGATGACAGTGACAAGTCTAACATCAAAAACAATAATGGGATCAACAAGTAGCAACATTATGGCAACAACGAAAACAACCACAAGTGAAAACCACGAATCAACAGCAACTAGAAATAGAACTACAACACCTGAAGCCTCGATAATTAGTGACCACAATTGTAAAGAGAGCCGACTCAATAACGTCAACTAAAAGAAAAAGACACCTATACACAATTACTCTTTGGTTCTTTCGGAAAAGTCACGTAGAAATAAATGTAATTAAATAATAGAATACGACGTTTCGATTGCAACACAAGCAACCATCATCAGGCACAAACAAACATAGTAAACTTGGACACACAATGATAATTACAACGATAAAAACTACACCAAATAGAACAAGCACTAGAATGACAATAACTGCAAGGGTATCACAACTATAATTACGATGGATGATTATACCACAGATAACTACAACCACGATAATGGCAATAAGTGTGACATCGATCACAACCGAGACGGGATAAACAATCACAACACGAACAAAAACATCTTTGGTTCTTTCGGTAAAGTCACGTAGAAATAAATTTAATTAAATAATAGAATACGACGTTTCGATTGCAACACAAGCAACCATCATCAGGTACAAACAAACATAGTAAACTTGGACACACAATGATAATTACAACGATAAAAACTACACCAAACAGAACAAGCACTAGAATGACAATAACTGCAAGGGTATCACAACTATAATTACGATGGATGATTATACCACAGATAACTACAACCACGATAATGGCAATAACTGTGACATCGATCACAACCGAGACGGGGTAAACAATCACAACACGAACAAAAACGACAATATCACGATACCAGACAACTTTACCGATAACGACAATGCTGCCGATAACCATAAAGACGTCGATAACAATAAACACCACGATAACAAATGATGAGACGCCATCAACCACAAACATGACGATAGCGACAAATGGCAACACATTATCAAAAACAATCACCACAGCGATGCAAATTGTTAACGATGACAAAAAAAAACATTCACAACCGATATGGCGATGGCCACTTGATTCGCAAGCAACTTCGAGATGACAATAACAAGACAACAATATAAATTGCAACAATGACAGAAACTATATTGGCGATGAACAACACTGCCCTGCGCCCTGGGAGTTCACGAAGCCTGGGATTCGGGCCGCAGCAACAGAAAACAACCTCTACTAACACCGCGACCCTGAAAGCCTTCACAACCTCGCACGACATTACATCCCCTTTGGGTAAACATCAAACATGGACGGACACACGGACACACGCAAACCAAATCGTTTGAACGACCTCGCAAAATGACACCACAAAACGAGTGCAAACGTTGGCGACGTTTAAACGCGCAAGTGCTGCTGCAGAGGCCTGCTCTCGGATAGAACAGGCCTCGGCATCGCAGGTCCGCGCCGCAAAGAAGCGTCGAAGGCGCCTTCGCAGTCGAGATTCGAGGGCAAAAAAAAAAACCGAGCACCTTTGCGGCGGCGGCGGCGACGACGACGACTCCCGGATAACTACGACGTGCTGATACGGCGACACTTGAGAAAGAGAAAAGCCCTCCTCCCCCCCCCCAACAAGAAAGGCGAGATTGCGAGTGACGGCGAGTGCGCGCCTTCAACCCCAACTGAGCGCGGCCATGGGGCGATACCAACTCCACTCGAACGAGAGGGGTGGTGGGTGAGGCGAGGGGTGATGATTTCGCTTGTTTATTTTGCGGGAATTGTCTATTATTTACTGCGATTCTTTTTCAAACGTGTGTAGGTTGCTTCGTTAGGTACGTTTGCAACTGTGTGGTTTGTTTGTTTTTTTTGCGAGTTGTTTAGTTTGTGGGGGGTCGGAAGGGGTGCACGGTGTGAGTTTTTTTTTTTGGGGGGGGGGGGGGTTTGTGGCGGTGGTTTATGTTGGCACGGTCCAAATCAGTTCGCAACTTTATAAAAATCACTTCATTTGATTTGGGATACATTTTCATGTTTAACTTGACTACAGCACTGTCTATTTTTATTTACTGCAATTGTTCATCAACAAAATGTAAATAGTTTTTTTTATGAAATTCACTCTATAGGTGAAATGATTAACAGTTATAGCTGTGTAAAGTATTAACTACGGTAGTCCTTGACTTACAAGCGCGGTATGTTCCTGAAACCCGTTCATAAGTCGATTTGTTTGTATCTCGGAATTTCATGTTTAATTGTATAGTACATCGGTCAGTATTAAAAATGTGTTATGTTTCAACAAAGGGAAGCACTTTTAAACTCATGAATAATAAGAAAATATATTGTACATTTGCACGCAATACTGTAATAAATGCTGCATAGTAAATACAACAAAACAAAATAAAGTAAAGTCACGTAGAAGAGAAACAATAAAATAATAAAAATATAAAACAATTAAATTCTCACGACGTTTCGACTGCAACACAAGCAATCATCAGGTTTTCACACCTGATGATGATTGCTTGTGTTGCAGTCGAAACGTGAGAATTTTATTCTTTTATATTTTTATTATTTTATTGTTTCCCTTCTACGTGACTTTACGAGAGCTTTAAATAAATAAAAATAAAGTAACATGAAAAAAATATTTTCACTTACCTTAAGACCTTGATGCTGGCTTGTTTGTCGGAATGGGGCATTTCACTGTCATGTATCACGCAGGATATCTGGGACTTATTACATCTCTTGGAGGATCGCTGTGCCGAACAAAATAATTTTTCGGTTCGGTTCGTAAGTAGGACCGAACGTTCGCAAGTCGGGTGGTCACAAATAATGTCTCGTGGAGGTTCGTTCGTATTTACAGATGTTTGTGAGTCGGACGTTCGCATCTCGGCAACTGCCCATATTGATATTCTTAGCTCTTTCGGTAAAGTCACGTTGAAGGGAAACAATAAAATAATAAAATATATATAAAACAATAAAACGTGACTTTACCGAAAGAGCTAAGAATATGAATTACTGCAGTCACGAAAGCTTTAAATCAAAATTTGCCCATATTGAGTTTTGTAATTTGTTTATTTTAAACAATATTCCAATTTACTCCTCTGAATTATACATATTTACCAATGGTTGTTACGTATGTACATTCACATTAGTGCACTGTGTAACAAAAAAAGGTAACATTAATTCAAAATAGGTCATACAAATACAGGGTACGTAAGTGTAATTATTGTACAATAATTGTAATTCACAATTCTGCAGTGAAAATTACTTGGAGCAGTTTCCTCCACGTGGCACTCATCAGCACGCCAGATAATCATTTGCAAAGTACATTTCAGTCAGCTACATATCGGTCAATAATTACAGTCAATAAAGACTGATTCTGATGGAGCACATGACCTGTAATGCAGCACTGTGAAGGCAAGGGTTTGGTGGATTGCACAAATGTCGTGAAACTCCCTTCGCCGTGTACATCGAGGTAGCCATACCCCGGCTTGTCAGGAGAAGGCAGTAAAGCAAGTGCTCTAATCGCCATCTGTTTCCATCTGCACGGGGATACAGTGTTGCTCCCTCGCGCGCGCGTGTGTGTGTGCTCCGGTTTCCTCCCACTTGTATAAAGACTCATCATTAATTGTTTGAAGATATCTTAAAAAAAAAAATTAAATGACCCTCTTGAACACGATTCCTGCGACAACGCGTGCGGCTTTCCTGGCTAAATAATCAAAATATTACCGTATTATTACGGAGCCATCCGTGCCCATGCTTGCTTGCTCCACCATACACACACACGCCACCAAATTAACTAAAAACTATTCACGTGGTGGTGTTGGGGGCTGCTTTGGGACGCCTTCATCCCGTAGTCAATTGACCATGGCTGCTGATTGAAGACGGGTGATAACGATGCGCAACATTAAAAACACAAACTCTTGTCGTTAACAGAAGCATTCTTGGCGCGGGGACCCCGTTGCTAGGATACGCTAGTACACAACCTGCCGGCCGCTCAGCCGCCGCTTAACAACGGTCGTGGCGGCGTCTACGTTGTTGTGAGTCCCTGGTTTTTATTATTAATATTTTGTGTTTAAACAAACAAAAAAAACTCCCCGTTTATTTTCTAACCATATAAGTCACTTCAGCTTCACGAGATGAACAGCGATGAAGAAGAGACTCAAGAAGGGCCCAAGAGCTCGTTCGCCACGTACCTGGCTGAGGGAGACAAGCTCTTCCAGAAGGGGGACTACACCCGGGCCATAGAGAGCTACAGCACGGTAACGTCTCCGACATACACACATACACACACAGAGCAGAGAGCCTCAGTCTGGGCTATAACCCAGGATCGCAGTGCCCTGGCATGGCTATTTTGAACACTGCGACTCAGAACCAGCGCTGCTTACGTACTTACTCTTCGCTCCCTGTGGAGCACAAGGCCGCAACAAGGCCACGCCACGCCGCACGGTCTTTGAGCAGCTTTCTCTGCTTCACCCCAAGACAAGGCCTATGGTCGTTAGTTGGTCTTGAATGGAGCGTCGTTTCATCGCATGCACAACTTGGGCCGTCTTGGACGTCTGTTACATGGAACGTACGTTCCGGGCTCCAATCGTGATGCTGTGCTTTTCCAGTGTCGCTCTGAGGGCTTTGATTGGAGAGGGTCATTCTGCCAGTTTCGTGGCTAGGTGCCTCCTGGTGGTTCGGTACTAAATATGTTCTTGTTGCAGTTCCCATAACAATTCAGTTTTTTTCCGGGGTGGGGTTGTTAGCCAGACGCCCAACCCCCAACCTGGAGGCCCAGGGGTTGTCGATTTTGTCTGCCCTCTACCCTTTGACCAGTCCGGCATGGTTGGACCTACTGGGGCCTCAGGCTTCCGCCGGCTTTGCTCTCTGAGTCATGGAGGCACACAAGCTTCTCTCTACCCCAACAAGGCGACAACCCATGAGAAAAGCAGAAACAGCGCTTTGACCAAATATCTCAGTGGCCTGACATGGCTTTTATGAGCACTGTGACTCAGACCCAGGGCTATAACCCGAGATCTTAGTTTGCTGGCATCGCCATTATGAGCCTCTGATAGAATGAGAGAGGAGAGCTTCAGTCTGGGTATGGGCTTGTACTCAGAGTCTTAGTGTCCTAAACATGGCCATTATGAACACCGTGAGAGATTCAGACCCAGTGCTATATCCAGGATCTATCTCGGACATGGCCATTATGAGCCTCAGAGAAAGAGAGAATTGTAGGCTCAATGACTGTTGGAATCAAGGCCGCAATTATAATATATATTAGGGGGGACATATCCCCCCCAATATTAAAATATGCTCAAAATGCCCCCCCCCCATATATTGCTATAAAATAGATTTCTGTTTATATGATTGTGGTTTTGGTTGTACTTTATTAATCCCTAATCTCTGCCATGACATACAATGAAACAAGAAAAGGTAAAAAAGAAAAAAACAGAGCAATGTAATACAATACACTATTAGACATTTATTGTAAAAAAATAATAACAAGTCCATCCTATGTGTTAGTGCATTTTTTTATATTTTAGGCAGGAAATTCGTTTTCAAATTTAGATTTTTTTTCTGGGGGGAGGGACCCCCAGACACCCTGGAAGATTTGGTCCCCCCCCCCCCCCCCAATGTTGACTCCATGGCTACAGCCTTTGTTGGAATAAATGGTTCATATTGGCTGTCAGAGTTATAGTCCTGGGTTTCTCTTTCTCGGAGCAAATAAGGCTTGTTTTACAAATCTTTAAGATCCTGGGTTCTAACCTTGGAGTCCCTTTCTAAGGGATCGATGGCGGTGTCAGAGCCAATGATCCAGAACCTTTGAGATCTTAAGTTTAATCCATAGGCTGGATGTCCCGCTGAGTATCCCAGGTGGTTCATACTGGTCATGTGACAGCACTAACTGTACCAACCCCATCAGGTAACTGTGTTTATGGAAAATAAACAGGTGAGACATCTGTATTGAAGTTGTTTTCCTCTTCCCGCGTCCTCCCCCGTGTGCTGGTACAGGCCCTCGATATACAGCCAAATGACAGGAACTGTCTGGTGGCCCGATCCAAGTGTTATCTGAAAATGGGTGATGCCCAGTATGCTCTCCGTGACGCAGAAGCATCACTAAAGGATGACAATCAGTTCTTTAAAGTAAGTCTAAACCTCACATCATCAAACTGTGTAATATGACTGTGATCCAACACTGCATTGCTGTAAAAAGTCAAGTAAAACTGGCTTTTGAAGCATTTAATGCAAAGTTAATATTTGTCTTTATTTTTCGATAAAGATCTGCATTGAATTACCATACTATATCATGTATTATGTTTCCATTTTAGTAAGGGCTACTATTTGCAATTTACCAAATATCAATTTCCTTTTTTATTCTTTCGTGCTCAGTTGCTTATTATGACATCCTCAGTCACTTTTGTGTGGCTTTCTTCACTCTCTTGCCTCTTTCTATTCATAATGGTTTCCAGAGTTCTTGGTATTCTATGTTTCGGTTGGCATTTTCATCCCTTGATATATTATTTTCTTCAAAATTTAAATCGGAAAAGTATTAACCATGTCCGATTTGCTGACATCGTCATGAAAATAACCAACGCTAATGAACTGAAGGACATTATTGAGGAATCTAATAAGGAAACATGCAAAGTGGGACTATAAATATGAATAAAACAAAAGTCAGGTACCACAAGTTCACTAAAGAAAAAACATGCAACTGTATCCTCCCACAATGACACTCATTCATGCAATTTCCCCTGGTGCTCTTGCTCCATGCTTTCATGTTCTGAGCTCCTCCATGTCCACACCACATTTCTTCATATCCTGGGTTACCACTTTGAAACACCTTTCAGGGCTTGCCTCTCTCTCAGTCTTATTAAGTTAAGGCCAGTGTGAAACAGTAGGCTAGACTTCTCTGTATTGGAGGGCCTTCTGCCAGCAGTGGCATGAGAAGCCGTTGCAGTGCTACACCTCTACCTTTTACATTTGTTATTATGTGGACAGCTGATGAATTGCGTTGCCCATTTGTGCTTTGTGGCAGGGTCTGTTGTGGAAGGCGGAGGCACTGTATGTTATGGGCGACTTTGAATTTGCACTTGTCTTTTATCACCGTGGCAACCGGCTGAGACCCGAGCTGGAGGAGTTCCGCCTCGGAATCCAAAAGGCGCAGGAGGCCATCGACAACTCCGTCGGAAGTACGCACCCACTGTGTGTGGTCGCTCTCGGTACCAGCCTTAGCAGCCATCTCCTCAGGTCAAATGGAATCTGCGTGATCAGAGCTGCGACCACCCCAACACGAATTTGAGCTACCAGCCTCCATTGCTTGCTTAGTGCCCCGCTCTTGCGACAGCGCTGTCTCTTACTATTAAAGAGTGTGTTGACATCCTTTTTGGTTTGAATATTACGCATTTGTTTAATAGGATTCACTTCGAAAAAGTTACTCACATTTATTCATTATGAGGAAAACATTTGGATTTAAAGACCATATTTGATGAGTAACGCCTGAATGTGTATGAGAAAACATGCCATAATCTACATTATTGGTATACATTACTATAACTGTGTTCAATTCAAGAAAGATATTCGCGCTTACCTGCAATACTATCATTTGTGCTGTTAATTGTTGGCCACTTTGCATTATAGACCTTTGGGTCTACGTTCCAAAGCTATATTTTTAAAACATCGGCTATGAATGACATCTATATGATTCTTAAAATGTATATCATGTTGTGTCAGAAGTTGGCTCCATAAAAGTTAAGTTAAAATGTTCTTTAAGTTCGTATATACGTATATTAAGGGCATGTTTCACTTGTGCAACATAGGTTATTGTGAATCAAATATTTAGCATATTAATGTATGAACCCATGGTTACAATAACGAAACCCATTACTGTCTGTATACACAGGTCCTTCTTCAGTAAAGCTTGAAAACAAAGGAGATTTGTCATTCTTCTACAAACCAGAGGAGGTACTGTAAAATTATTAATGGTAAATCAACACAGGAACCGCTCCTTGCCCGAGAAGCGTTTTTATATTAATGGCTCCATCATGTAACACATCAGTCACAGCAGGGTGTATACAATTTTTCTCCCGTGAAAATAATAATAATAATATTATTGTGGTTTTATGAAGGTATAATATTCGCTGTATAACTGCGTAGATTTTCCCAGGTGTGCTGTTTAGCTGTCCGATATGTTTTTGGGTTCTATCTTGTATTGTTCGGCATAATGTTCGACGTTCCTGAAGAAGCTCCCTGCACGTGGAGCCAAAACGTTGGACACCATGTCGGACAACGCGGTACAAACCAACAGTACATCAGAGAGCTATTACTGTAACCACATTGTTCTGCTCTCACACCCCTTCCCCTAACTGCTATGTCACATGTACAGGGCAAGAAGGGCAAGGGACCGACACGAGCAGGCAAGACCCAACAGCAGAAGCAAGCAAGCGAGCGGGAGAACCGGTCACAAAGTAGCAAGACCCAGAGGCAGCTGCTGGGGGAGCTGTACAATGATCGTCAATATCTGCAGAGGCTCATGCAGGATCAGAGTATGCAGCCCACTGGGCTAAGAACCACTGCACTGTGCACATTTTGCAGGGAGACAAGTACCGTTTATCCATACCTAAACCACATTTTTTGAGCTCTAATCCCAAACTATTTAAGGAAGCTGATGCTTCATGTGCATATTGATCATTGCGTGCAGAAGACGCAAACACTTTGTCACTGTACAGAGTAACTTTGCACAAACACTGGGCGCGTGTTTTACCATTGCTGCAGACTTGATCAAGGGCAGCGTGGGTGGTGGGATGCGTGTCGAGGAGCTGATCCGCGAAGGCCTGGAGTACCTGGACACACGCACTGATTTCTGGCGGCAGCAGAAACCCATCTACGCACGTGTGCGCGACCGCAAGCTCATGCGGCAGAAGTGGAACCGGGGCCGCGATGGCCTATCCCCCAGTGACTCCATGCGCAGTGTCCTGGTCAGCCTGGAGGAAACTGACCAGTGTACGTAGCCTTATACATGCGAGAGGGCTCTTTGCAGTCTTTAATTCTTTTACTAATGGCACCTTGTCAATCCACCCTGTGTCGGTCATGGGGATTGCTTATACATGCTGTGTTGGTTATGGGGATTGTTTAACCATACCTCACCACACTGGTCTCAGTATGGGTGGGTGGAGGGAGAGGCCAAGTACCGGTTCAGATATTACTTGCCACTGTCATTATTCTTGGCTTGAATGGAACTCGTATCGACCGCTTCAGAGTGCAGTGGGCTAACTGCTGTACCATCACTCCACCCCCTGTGTGATCTTTAGTGTAACAAAACTATATACACCAGCACAGTCATTCTGTCGGTTATTTAATCTGTGCCATTTATTCCACAATGGGAATGTACATCATATTAATATAAGGAGGGCTATTACTGTATTGATTTCAAAAGCTTTCTCATGGAAAATTATGAAATGTGGTGTCTGGTCCATGATGCAGGTGCATAATGTTGAATTACTTTACTAATTTATTTTGCTGCATAAAGTGTCAAAACACTGCCATCTTGATTAATCAGTTAAATAAAATTAGTTAGATTTTGGCACATTTGTAAACATCACTCCGTTTCTACATAAATATGAATAAAATTAACAATCGTGAAGGTGGAAATTATACTTACAAATGTTAAAAAGTGCATGGACAATTTAAGTGCAGTACTGTTTAGGAATCATCCTCTTTTTGAGGTGGCCATCCTAGGAAATCTGTAAGTCTTCCTGGGACATTAAAACCCCTGTTTTTTTGTCATCATTTACATAATACACATCTCGAGACAATGCATTTACATTTAGTTCAACCCTCTTCTAGTCTTGTGAGATATTCTTCGTTCCATTTTTTTAACCTCGGATGTGGCAACCCTGGGTATTTGCTAATACTGCTCCATTGCAAAATGAAGGAGTCCACAATGCTTTGTATGATGGACAGTGCTGGCTGATGGCAATGCAGAAGGCAGCCTACGCAAGGCACAGCAGACGCTGAAGGTGGTGGAGGGATGGTCCAGCAAGGAAGCTGCCAGCAAGATGCAGGTGGGTGGAGAGACACAGCCCTCATACATTGGCAGTGCTTTGTAAGCACCGGCAGAAATTACTTTACCACCATTGGCATGACCAAAACGATTTAATATAATCTTGATTTGAAGCTTTCGTGACTGCAGGAATCCATACTCTTTGGTTCTTTCGGTAATGTCACGTAGTTATAAAATAAAATGATTTAATAAAGTAATTTAATATTTATATTCTTAGTTTTTTCGGTAAAGTCACGTTGAAGAGAAACAACAAAATAACAAATATATATAAAACAATAAAAAATTCTCACGACGTTTCGACCATAACTCAAACGGTCATCATCAGGTGTGTCGGTTTGCATAAATTTATTTTGAAAACGGCATATTTATTTATATATATAAAAATAACGTTTGCGTCACGCGCAACGATGGCAGTTTGCCAGGACTAGTCCATCTATTTTTTTTTTGAAAAGAGGAGGGGGGAGACGAAATTTGTTTTTATGTAAGCTGTCTGAAAGGCACTGTAAGCGTGAACAATCAATCAAGAACTGAAATGATTTATCAAATCTTTCCAATGATTGCTAAGATAGAATCCATCTTCTCGGTTGAAATTGTCTCTGTGTTTGTATATGTGGATAGCCTCATGAACGAATCTCTCATGGAAGCCAGATGGCTTACAAAGAACCTCCGTCTTGGAAAAGTCAATGGCATGTGAGCCTACTGAATTAGAACAATGATCTGCTACGGCCGAGGTGTTGGTCCTACCGTGTTTAAGGTCTGCTTTATGTTCACGAATGCGGTCCGAGATATGGCGTTTGGTTTCTCCAATGTAACTACTACCACAGAGGCAACTTAGTTTGTAGACACCAGGGTATTGTATGTCCGGAATCACATCTTTTACAGACGGAACCAGATCACGGATTTTATGTAATGTGTTGAAACGGACCTGGATCTTGTGTTTATTCAAGATTTTGGAGATCTTTTTTGTGATCCCAGCAATGTAGGGTAAAGTGATGGTTTTGAAAGGCTCCTCAAGAGGGTTCTTCTTCATGGTTTGAGTGATAGCTTTGCGGATTGTATAGTCGGAGTAACCATTAGCCCTAAGAGCTTGGTGTACGTGCTTGAGTTCACTGCTTATGTGTTCCTGGTCGGATATGCATTGGGCTCTATGATACAGAGTCTTGATGAGAGAATTCTTCTGTGATGGATGGTGGTGGGAATCCGGTTTCAGATAAGCATCCGTATGGGTAGCTTTCCTGTAGACAGAGTGGCTCATTGAACCATCAGGTCTCTTTTTAATTAGGACATCCAAAAAAGGTATCTTGCCATCTATTTCGACTTCCATGGTAAATCTGATGGCTGGGTGTATGGAATTGATGTGGTCGAAGAATTTGTCTAGAGCAGGCCGGCCATGTGGCCAGATGACAAAAGTGTCATCCACGTACCTCTTCCATAAGGTTGGGCGCAGAGTGGCAGTCTGGATGGCGTCAGTCTCAAATTTCTCCATGAAAATGTTAGCTATAACTGGAGAAAGGGGGGAGCCCATTGGGGTGCCCTCAGTTTGTTTGTAGAAAGTTCCATTCCAAGTGAAGTATGTATTGGTTAAACAGTGTCTCACCAGGGGGGGTACCTCAGTGTTTAGTCCTTGATGAACCAAGTCTTCAATGATTGCAATGGTGTCAGGTACAGGAACCTTGGTGAATAAGGAAACTACATCAAAACTGACAAGCAGGTCGTCTGGGGACAGGGAAATACCCTTGATTGTTGATACCAGGTGAGTAGAATTTTGTACCGCAGAGGTGGTCTTTCCAGTGAAAGGACGCAGGATTTCAGACAAAAAACGAGCTAGTTTGTAGGTGGGGGAGCTGATAGTAGAGACTATGGGACGAAGAGGTGTATCAACTTTATGTATTTTTGGTAAGCCGTATAATCTTGGTGGCCTGGCAGCAGAAGGTTTCAACGAAAACTGTTTAGATTGATCAATTAATGTGGTTGAATCAGAAATTATTTTGTTGGTTTGTGTGACGAGGCTGTTGGTGGGATCTCTTTTTATTTTTGTATAACTACCATCGTCGAGTAATTCTTTAATTTTGTTGTTGTATTCTATTTTATCCATGATAACAGTAGCATTGCCTTTGTCAGCTGAGAGAACTACAATATCATTCCTCTTTTTTAATTTATATAATTCAAAACGCTCATCTTTGCTGAGGTTGCTAGCTGGCATCTTAGCGTTTTTGAGGGTTGCAGCGATTTCAGATCTTGCTACGTCTGCAGCGATGTGACCCAGGCCCCTGAGAGCAACGTCTACTTGGGCAATTATATCATTAACTGGTATGTGTTTAGGTGTGACTGCAAAGTTTAGACCTTTAGCTAAAACGGATTTCAGACCATCGGAAATAGAACTGTTACTGCGATTAATTACGACTTTATTAACGTCTAACTTTTTGGTGTGTGGGTCCGGTCTTTTGTTTAAGAGGAGGTTAAATTTGGAAATCAGGTTTTCCTTACATTTGGTCGACATCGTTTTGAATTATATAAATTAAAAAAGAGGAATGATATTGTAGTTCTCTCAGCTGACAAAGGCAATGCTACTGTTATCATGGATAAAATAGAATACAACAACAAAATTAAAGAATTACTCGACGATGGTAGTTATACAAAAATAAAAAGAGATCCCACCAACAGCCTCGTCACACAAACCAACAAAATAATTTCTGATTCAACCACATTAATTGATCAATCTAAACAGTTTTCGTTGAAACCTTCTGCTGCCAGGCCACCAAGATTATACGGCTTACCAAAAATACATAAAGTTGATACACCTCTTCGTCCCATAGTCTCTACTATCAGCTCCCCCACCTACAAACTAGCTCGTTTTTTGTCTGAAATCCTGCGTCCTTTCACTGGAAAGACCACCTCTGCGGTACAAAATTCTACTCACCTGGTATCAACAATCAAGGGTATTTCCCTGTCCCCAGACGACCTGCTTGTCAGTTTTGATGTAGTTTCCTTATTCACCAAGGTTCCTGTACCTGACACCATTGCAATCATTGAAGACTTGGTTCATCAAGGACTAAACACTGAGGTACCCCCCCTGGTGAGACACTGTTTAACCAATACATACTTCACTTGGAATGGAACTTTCTACAAACAAACTGAGGGCACCCCAATGGGCTCCCCCCTTTCTCCAGTTATAGCTAACATTTTCATGGAGAAATTTGAGACTGACGCCATCCAGACTGCCACTCTGCGCCCAACCTTATGGAAGAGGTACGTGGATGACACTTTTGTCATCTGGCCACATGGCCGGCCTGCTCTAGACAAATTCTTCGACCACATCAATTCCATACACCCAGCCATCAGATTTACCATGGAAGTCGAAATAGATGGCAAGATACCTTTTTTGGATGTCCTAATTAAAAAGAGACCTGATGGTTCAATGAGCCACTCTGTCTACAGGAAAGCTACCCATACGGATGCTTATCTGAAACCGGATTCCCACCACCATCCATCACAGAAGAATTCTCTCATCAAGACTCTGTATCATAGAGCCCAATGCATATCCGACCAGGAACACATAAGCAGTGAACTCAAGCACGTACACCAAGCTCTTAGGGCTAATGGTTACTCCGACTATACAATCCGCAAAGCTATCACTCAAACCATGAAGAAGAACCCTCTTGAGGAGCCTTTCAAAACCATCACTTTACCCTACATTGCTGGGATCACAAAAAAGATCTCCAAAATCTTGAATAAACACAAGATCCAGGTCCGTTTCAACACATTACATAAAATCCGTGATCTGGTTCCGTCTGTAAAAGATGTGATTCCGGACATACAATACCCTGGTGTCTACAAACTAAGTTGCCTCTGTGGTAGTAGTTACATTGGAGAAACCAAACGCCATATCTCGGACCGCATTCGTGAACATAAAGCAGACCTTAAACACGGTAGGACCAACACCTCGGCCGTAGCAGATCATTGTTCTAATTCAGTAGGCTCACATGCCATTGACTTTTCCAAGACGGAGGTTCTTTGTAAGCCATCTGGCTTCCATGAGAGATTCGTTCATGAGGCTATCCACATATACAAACACAGAGACAATTTCAACCGAGAAGATGGATTCTATCTTAGCAATCATTGGAAAGATTTGATAAATCATTTCAGTTCTTGATTGATTGTTCACGCTTACAGTGCCTTTCAGACAGCTTACATAAAAACAAATTTCGTCTCCCCCCTCCTCTTTTTCAAAAAAAAAAAAAAAAAAAAAATAGATGGACTAGTCCTGGCAAACTGCCATCGTTGCGCGTGACGCAAACGTTATTTTTATATATATAAATAAATATGCCGTTTTCAAAATAAATTTATGCAAACCGACACACCTGATGATGACCGTTTGAGTTATGGTCGAAACGTCGTGAGAATTTTTTATTGTTTTATATATATTTGTTATTTTGTTGTTTCTCTTCAACGTGACTTTACCGAAAAAACTAAGAATATGAATTACTGCAGTCACGAAAGCTTTAAATCAAAATTTAATTTAATATTATTTACAGCCCTATTTCAGTTCACTGCTGGATAAAGGCTTCCCCGCACTGGTTGTCATGATGATTGTTTGATAATTTTTCACCACACTGGTTAGTGCGGGTTGATGAAGTGGTGCACAGGACCGGTTCAGATATCACTCGCTGTTGACATTAACCATGGCAGTGAAGTTAACTTAGGTCATTACATTCAGAATGCAGTGTGCTCACCACTGAACTACATCTCTCTCATGAACAAATATAGATATAAATTTAGACATTAAACGTTTGTGACTGCAGGAATTCATATTCTTGGTTCTTTTGGTAAAGTCACGTAGATAGAAAAAAAAATCTAAATTAAAAGCAAAAAAACCCACGTTTCCATCGCAACACAAGCGGTCTTCTTCAGATGGAGAGAAAAGAGAGCAAACCTAGCTGCTTATAAGGGCTCCAGAGTGAGTGGGCAGGTGAAAGGGCTGCGCGAGAGACAGGGGGAGAGAGAGGGGGTGGGGCAGAGATGGGGGGGAAGGAGAGAGGGGTAGAGATGGGAGGAGGGAGGGATTGCACCTTGGTACACCCATCAGAATATGGGGGGGGGGGGGGAAATGAGGCAGAGACAGGGGGAGAGAGAGGGTGTGGAGCAGAGATAGGGGGGACGGGTAGAGATGGGAGGGGGGGAAATTGCACCTCGCTACGCCCATCCACACTGCTGACGGTAGAGGTTGACAAGGAAACACAAATTCAAATCATGACGCAAAGTGGTTGATGACATCTTTCCAATGATTGTTGAGTTTAAACCGTCGTCTCAGTTGAAATCGTGTTTGTGTCTGTATATATGGATGGCTTCGTGAACGAATCTTTGTTGATAGCCAGTCGGCTTGCAAAGTACCATCGTCTTAGACACATCAATTTAATGTGAGCCAGCCGCATTAAAGTAATGATCAGCTATGGCTGATCATTACTTTAAATATAGATGTACTAGCGGGAAGTACCCGGCGTTGCCCAGGTGAAAAATATATTTCAATATTTTGTAAACTACATTTTTTAGCAATGCTCATTGTATCTAACAGTATTTGCCTAACAGTCTATATGCTAAATGCTGATCATTGTGTGTGTGTGCTTTCGTTCAGGTGCTAGGTAACCTGCACAGCAGCATGGGTAATGCTCAGCTCGAGCTTGGTCTGATGGAGGCTGCCCTCTCCAGCCACCAGAAGGACCTCAAGATCGCAAAGGAGCAGTACGATGTTGCACACGACCAACAATAGCCAGCCTCAGTGAACGTTTCAATCAAGGTTTAATTTGTCACTGAATGTGTACCAGGTCGCAAATAGATTAGAGTAGGAGGCATACAACTAGTAGCCACAACCAGTGGCCACAGCCGTGGAGCTATATATGATGTGGTGTAATAGGTGCGGAAACATTTTACACCTCACTGAGACAGATAGAACCCGCTGAAATTAAAGCCCTGCTTTTACATATGTCCATCTAGCCTATTTCTTGAGGACCTAAGTTGATTGTACACCCATTATGGACAATTTTTCCATGATTTATATGAAATCATAGAATCTATGAAAAATTATTTCCCACGAGAGGGCAAACATAAACTGTGCTCATTAATGTGCTCACTTCGAAAGTGCATACTTAAAAAAATACGAACAAACTCTAGAATACATTTTAAAATAGAATTGGTGTTGCATTGAGTACAATCACCATGGCCTCTAGGAATGTGAATGGAATGTATTCGTCATGCCGAATGTGTCCAAAAATATATAGTCTCTCAACAGTTGATTTCGAATTATCTTCAAGTACCAGAGCAAATAATATCCCTGTGGTTCACTTTGCTTGAATTTTGAATATTTCCAACTGCACACGTGCTTCCTTTTGAACAGTAACCTCGTGGAATCGAAATCGAGGGCGCTGGACAACATTGGGCGTGTGTACGCCCGATTTGGTAACTTCAAGCAGGCCGTCAAGGCGTAAGTGAATGTTTCTGTGCGTTTACTATTCATGCCCTCTGCTGGAATCTGTATAAAAGCATACATACGCATAGATTGTGTAATGTTTTCCAACATGTCTTTGTCTTTAGGAAAATTTTACAATGAACATATTTGCAAATACTGGAGTTTTTTTTCCCTGGCTTTTGTCTCTAAGTTTTGGACAATCTTTAGGTTAATTTGGCCAGTTTTCAAGAGGGAAAGTCACAAATAGGAACACATCTTTATACCACAGGTTCGTTCATATTGTATCATCTTTTACTCGAGTTATAGCGTCCCTCCATTACGGAATGACGGAGAATGCTTATGCATTACTCTTTTTAATCTTAGTTGGAATGCGTAAAAAAATGCAACAGCAAATGGCCGGACTTGTCCTGTGTTTGCGTGCGAGCAGCTGGGAGGAGAAGATCCCGTTAGTGCAGACCGAGTTGGAACGGGCCTGGCTCTTCCATGAGATTGGCCGCTGTCACCTAGAGCTGAGCCACTTCCGAGAGGCGCGAGGACACGGCCATACGGCCCTGACAGCTGCGCGCGCCTCCGGTGACGACGAGTGGCAGCTCAACGCATTCGTCCTGGTAGCACAGGCGCAAAGTAAGCTGATCAGCTCGTGTATATGCAGACCCGTTTGTGATTACGATGGCGAGCTATTAACTACCTCGCCTGGTAAGCCAGAGGCCATAGAATCGTTCCCGACCCTGACGCCTGTATATTTGAAGTTTGCGTGTCTCTCTTCCCGTGGCCGCGTGGATTTTTCTCCGGGTCCTCCAGCGTTTCGCTCCATATTCATAAAAATGCGTTTAGAGTATTTGGCTGGTATAAATTTCCACGTGATAATCCACTTTGTTGAGCTATCATTTGTGGCCAGGTTGCTTCTGAAAAAGAGCTATAAAGCTCAGTGGGCCTTACCAGTAAAATAAAAGATATTACATAATCAAAGGACATCGAGATCTAAAATGCAGTAATAACGTATATATTGCTCTCCAGTGTTTTCCAACTCAGAGGTGAGGGATGACTCATCCCTGACTGGAAAGAACCTAGGTCAAAAAAATCATGGCTTTCTATACTATTGCGAATCTCATTGGATTTTAGACATTTCAAATGTTCTTCCAATTCCTATAATTTTAGGAGTTAAGAGCTGGGAACAGTTTTGTAAAATAAACAAAATTCCGGATAACACGATCCATACCTCAAGTCAAAAATGCAATGCATTTGTACGACGGATTGCACTTCAGAAATAAGATTCATTCAATCTGTATGACAGCTTGCATATTTATATAAACTAGTTTTTTAATCCGTCCGTAACATGGCTGTATGCATATCTGGGGAGTTTGAATGTAAATATAACATATGACATCTATTTTGAGAGACGTTACAATATTCTGCTTGCATTGTAATTGTGATTTTTGTACAGTGAATCTGCGTGATTACAAGTCTGCAGTCAAGTATTTTGAAGATGCATTGGACAAAGCAACCTTGATTAAGGATACTGCTGCTGAAAGAGCCATTGCAGTGGTAGGCATCCACAATGCCGTTTCCAGCTATGGGAGTTACATGAAGCGGACTGTATCCCTTCCTGTAACACAGCTTGGCTGATTTATTTACATGCTTGGACAATTCAGCCACTTTCTGGCCAAACAGTACAATTGACCGTATGAATACCCTCTGTCAGCATAATCTGTTGCAAACATTGGGTGTGTACAAAGATATATTTTCCATAACAAGTTGTCTGCATGTATTGGTATATACAAAGATCCCCTGTATGGCCTATCTAGACTCTTGGAGTAAGAGTTGTTTGTGAGCACCTATTGAGGCCAGTATAGCCCACAATTGTGTGGTGTGGCGAGGACGACGTCTGGCAACCTTTGTTTCTCCACATGCTACACAGATACTCATTAAAGGCTAAGTCAACCTAGGAGAGGTCTAGAACCAGTTATGATATCACTTCCATTGATGTTAGCAGTGCCTGTGAATCGAACTCGGGCAGTATGCCATCACTCTAAAACATTACCACACACACGTCTGTCATCATAGAGCCAGCAGACATGAGCCGAAAACATCCACTTTATTTGATTCAGTCATGGATTTGTAATGCTTTCAATAATATACTGTATTGTGAAATCAAATAACAAAAACGCTTGCCTCGGTGAGTGTTGGTGCCTGCGGAATGTGTGTTTGGCTTTGATGCGATTTTATTTTGCAGGCTCTTGAGGAAGCAAAGTCCTTGTTGAACAAGCAACCCAAAGAGAGCCCATCAGAAGAGACAAAAAAACAGTCCATCATAGATGGTAACCCTCGAGTTCACACATTTTTTCTCAAGCCATTAGATATTGTACATACAGTATTAATTTTAAAAAACGTGAATCTGTTCCTCTGTGTGCAATGGTGTTGCTCTTTGGCAAAGTTCTAAGTGGTCAAGAAACTTTTTTTCTGGACAATCAATGCCTGACGGTAGTGAGCACCCCTGTAAATCATTACCGTAGGCGAGGGTTTGTGGATTACACAATGAAGCTCCCTTACCGTGTGCATCGAGGACGCCATATCCTGGCTCACCAGGAGAAGGTACAGCAGGTGGATTAATATTAATCTCCATCAGTTTCCATTGGTACGGCGATAAAGTGTTACGCCCCCTTGCATGCGTGAGCTTTCTTGGGGTACTGTTTGCTCCCACATGAATAATCACTCATTAATAGAGTTGGTCAAACATCCCAACTTTGGTCACAGAGCTTGGGCAATTGTTGGCACCGGTTCTGGCTACCTTCCCGCTCATGTGTAGTTGCCCACACCTCTGCATCTGACAAAACTTAATGTTATAAATTAGTAATTTTAGCTGTTTTAATTGGAAGTATTTTGAATCAAACTAAGAAACCCTACATTTGTGCTTAAATGATTCATTTGTGCTTAAATGATTCAAACCAAAGAACTAACCTGGCTGCTGTATAGTATCAAAAGTAATGCCACACGGTGTTGCTGACGTGCTTGGTTGACTCTGGTTGTGACTTGCCTTTGCAGAGGAGGAGGAAGAAGAAGAGAAAAGGGACGCTGAAGACATGGAGAAGGAAACGGGAGAGATAACGCGAGGGAAAGGCAATGCCTTTTTTGGTGGCAAGAAAGGCAGTGACAAGGGATCGAGCGACAATGATGACAAAAACACAGACGAGGAGAGAAACAAAAAGAAGAAAGGCACTAGGAGTGATGATTCTGATGCCGATGAGTTGCAGAAGCCGAAGAGCGCCAAGGCTAAGCAAGAAGGCAGAGATAGAGGGAGACATGACGATGATCATGCGAAAGGTCACAACAAAGAGAAATGTGGAGCTGGGGCGGGCAGTTCATCTGAAGACGAGACAGTGAAAGAAAGTGGCAGAAGTTAGGATAAACAGAAGGATGATATGATGATGACGTGTAGAGACTTCCTTTATTTATCCAGGCATTAAACATTGGTATCTAGAGTCCTGGGCCTGTACAGGAAATGTCAAATTTTATTTAGTGACTGGTACAAAGATTTTAAGCAAGACCTACTTGTTCTTGGCAGTGCCTTATTTTATGAAAAAAACTTGTGTAACACATCCGTTCATTGTTAGTTAGTGACACTAAGGTAATACTATTATTCTAGCCCCGGATGGATGTTCTCTATAAATAAAATAGTGGTGTAATTACTATACAGCACAGGAGTGTAACACCGAAAAAGGAATTGCCCCCGTTGTGTTTTTTTGCGTGCTAAAATTTAACCGCATAGTATATTGCAAAGTCACTTGAAATGTGCAATGGCGAACGCATCAAGTTTGAATAAAGTACACGAATTGTAAGCACGTACAAATAAGTAAATAAACACAAAGTACTGTATACTGTACAATGTTTTGGATTGATAGGTTCAGGCCAACACAGTAAAAATACAGCACTCTATTTAAAACCAATTGTGTGTGTATATGTACAACGGAAATTAGACTCAACACAAGAACCCACTTATACGGCTGTAAACCATGTGACGAATCGGCAATTAACTGCACACATGGTCGGAGTGAGGTCACAGCAGATATTTGCAGAATACATCAGTTGGCAGATATCTGAAACTGCATCGAGGTAATATTAACAAAAACACGATTTTCTACCGTACTCTATTTAAAACTTTAAGAATGCTAGATAACACGTTGAAGACATATGGCTGCTTCATTTTAACACGTGGTAATTGTGAACATTCATTTAAGACCATATAAAAGACACACAAGATGGTTTGGTCTGGTATGTCAAGGTTTTTCAATTGGCAGCCATGAGCCAGATGTCGTCCGCGAAGGTTCTTGCATTGGCTCACCGACAGATTTTTACGATATATTTTGTTTAATTTTATCAGGTAAGGTCCACTGAGCTATATAGCTTCTTTTTCAGAAGCGACCTGGTCACAAATGACGGCTCAACCAAGTGGCTTCTCATGTGTAAATGTATGGGAGCCAAATACTTTAATACTGGTAGGAACCTCCTGGTTTCACCAGCCCACAGGGGATTATTGTGTCCGTCGTGTATCCAAAAATGGGAGGGGTGGGGCTGGGTGGAGAGGGGAGGGTGGGGAGGGTGGGGCTGGGTGGGGGGGTGGGAGGGGTGGGGCTAGGTGGGGGGTGGGAGGGTTGGGGCTGGGTGGGAGGGGTGGGGCTGGGTGGGGAGGGGCTGGTCACCCCGTGGTGCCCTTATAAAACTCAACGTTTAACCTACTCACGCCGGCTTGTGCCCGCCCTCACAGTCGGGCATATTTGCGGAATACACCACGTGCCGCCGTTGACCCTGGCCATTGACCGAGCAACTCAACGTTCCTACCAGCTCCCTCCGCAGGAATGTGTTCGCATGATTCTAAATGTGGAGGTGAAAACCGGAGGACCCGGAGAAAAATCCACGCGACCACAGGGAGAGAAACACGCAAACTCCAAATATGCAGCAGGCGTCAGGGTCGAGATCGAACCCATGACCTCGTGTACCAGGCGATAAAGATAATGAGGTAAAAGAAAGTACATAAGAAAGATGAGACGGGTAAAGACTAGAGATACAAATTAGTGATCCTATGTACAGACTTTACTATGTCACAATGCCCATTCGCTGTCATAAAACATCGGTGTCACATGAGCCGCCTGTAGGCCAGTTTTATTGTGTGGCCCGCAAGCAAATATAGTCGAACTAGCTTATATTGCAGTAAATCTGAAATATTCTAAAGAAAAATTGTTCAGCTCATGATTATTAATGAGGGGGGGGGGGGTGTTCCATGTGGAGTGACGTCACGCGGGGGTGGGCCTCATGTGGAGTGACGTCACGCGCAGGACGGACAGAAATTTCTGGGTGATTATAGTAGGTAATAACAACCCCCTGGTGTGTAGATTAATATTAATTGAGTGGACTTTTTGGAAGCATATTGCTTCACGTTTTCCAAGAACAAATGGCCTGCTACATGAAAAATACTCGTAAAACGCAAACCTAGAGGAAAATCCTCTTCATTAATTTCCAACTCTGAATCGTACTGAATTGTTTCCGAGTAATGATGCATGATAGGAATGCACATTAATGATTCAATTAAAATAATTCTGCTCTCGACAAATGTATGGCAAATGCTTCCTTTTGAGCAAATGAAACATTAAACAACACACCTTCCAGAAGAAATAATAATACATCGAAAGAGAGCCAGAAAGACCGAGATACACTGCAATTCCCATGCAACCAATCCTGCCATTATAAACCCAGGACAGATCATTGGCACGCCGGTCCTCGTGTTTTAAGTCGGTATAGGTATTCGCGTACAAGGACTTAACGTTTCATAAGCTTACGAGAGAGACAGTACGAGAGAGAGAGAGCAAATACGGCAGGCGAATCGAGACAGGGCAAAGAAGATAAACTTGAAACGAGACTCAAAATACTTTGGCAGAAACGAGACGGGCCGTGCTGATTAAGACCATACAAATTGTACAAATGAGAGAAAGAACAAAATAGACAACTGAAACAATACAAAATAGACAACTCAAACAATACAGATGAGACAATAACTAAGTACAAAATATAAATGGGACTGCACAAATGAGATACAGTACGAACCATACAGACAGTACAAATGCGACATACGACAAACTAGTCACAGTACAAACACAGAAGTACAAATGAGAGCACATAGAAGACATTCTAAATAAGTAATATTTTTAAAAAAAATCACGCTTTAATGAAATGTACCGTACTAGTAATGTAAGAACTCCACGACTCCAGGAAGTGACCCCGAAGCTTGCCACAACGTTAAGGTGACCGTGGTGATTTACAGCCAACTTGAGTTGACAGTGGACAATTAGACCCAAGCCGAACCATAACACATACAAAATAATGTTTAAAAACATATTTTTTATTTTTTTATGATAGAATATAGTATTGTCATCATTATGACATAAGTATACCAAGTTTGCAGTCGATACCACATTGGGAAGCGGGTTACAATTGAGTTACAAGATTTGAAGATACAACAACAGAGTGAGTTAAATAAAAAAGCGTGTAATAATTAAAATAAAACGCCACGCGTTTAAGAGAGGGCCCTTGCCGAAAACACCCGGTAGTTCACCAGCATTGACTGAAGCAAGCGTGGTTCTGCCGATGAGCCACTGAATGTTGAAACCGCTGCCAGAGCGTTGCATTGTCCAGCCACCGAAACATTGCTGCCCAAAATGATGCACTCACAGAAGGCGGTGGGGGCTGATGGGTGGTGTCAAAAAAATAATACACGGGTGTCTTTATTTGTTGAGTCCAGATACACGACGATGTTATTGCGTGCTTATTTATTTTGTACAACTAAAAAAAACCTTACATCCCCCCCCCACACCACCACAAATTGTCTGGTCATGCCGCCGAATTGGCAGTGATGGTGGCACAATCCCAATTAACAACAGAACTCAACGCATTCGTCGACGAGTAAGTACTGAAAAGGAACATTTAAAAACAAATGTACTCCGTAAATATACGACAGATGTGTTACTTATTCGGCAGGTGCTATTGACGGATGTGTTAAAGGGCGGAGGGGTGGGGGGAGGGTCCCCCCGGGAGGGTCCACCCCCCCTTTTGTAAGTCACTCCCAAACAACAACAATATAGAATCGATTCTAGAATCGCTATAAACGTTTGAGACGCAGAATCGCAAATCGACGCGGGTGAATCGATTCGCTGTGGAAATTCGCGCGGGCACCGCGATTCTGGCTCAGGTGTTAAAATTGCGGCAGACGCGAGCGGAGCACTCTGCTGTCGCTGTTGTCTCGGTCAGTTGTTCCTCTACATTTCTTCTCAGCATCACCACTTGCTTTACTTATCTTTGGTCGGTATTACCGCGTGCGTGTGGTTTATTGTTTCATGTTTGTACGGGGTTGCATTTTTTTAAAAAATCATCAGTCGCTGAGGTATCGGGCGCGGCTGAGGAGGAGGAGGAGACGGTGCCGCGTTACGGTCGTGGTTATTTCGCGGCCCTTGTTGCTATTGTTACTTTATTGTGTGTCCGTGTCTTTTTGTTGTGATGAGATGTTCACGGTAAGGTGTCTTCAAATCGGAAGAAAAAATGTCAACAATGTTAATTCGCTCACATAACCGAAGGGATTTTTTTTTGAAGGGCGGCAACCCGAGAATGGAAACCTCCGAGGCCGAAGGAGATGGAGCGATGTAAATCGGGATCTAGATCGGATCTTTAATCCGCGGGAACCGTAGTGGCGATGTGGGGAGGCGACTGCCACGCCAGCCCTCGATTCACCGGTTTATAGACCATCGCTCATGGTGAATTGTGTGGAGAAGCCCGCGTTAGGCCGCTCGCTGTGTTACGCATCACGGGAGACGGGGCCTGAGGCCTTAAACGGCAACATATATACGGTAATAGGCGACGTTTCGGGCAGTGGCCCTTATTCATAACGCACGTTCAAGGTGTGCTAAGGCAGCGGGTGTTATTGACCAATGTTTCGTTTTTTGCTGGTTGTTATTTGTCCCCTGTGCAGCCTCCACCAACGCGGCAGCATCGCCAAATGCTTGGTTTCAAAATACATTACGAGGTGTAAACGTCGTCTGCCATGCTGTGTTGATTGTTATAATCATTATTATTATACACGTGCACGTATAAAATGTGTGGATAAATAGCGCAATGTTGTAATGGTGAGTGTAGTCGGCGATAACTTGTTTGTTTTGGTTTTAGAGTCCGCTGCATCGAGTGCCGCTGTGTAAAGACGTGGTTCCCAAAATTGTGGTTTTGTGAATCAGGTGGTTAAAAAATAAAATAACAAAATCATTTTACCTACGTGACTTTACCCAATAGAACCATTGAGTGGATCCTAGCAGTCACGAAAGCTTTAAATCTAGAATCACGTGGTTCTTGTGTTTTGTGGTTTAAAAATTGGTGGAACGTTTGTCAGCTTTATCCACGATGCCACATTTGTCAGCTTTATCGTGCGTTAGAGGTGGTGCCTTTTACAGTTAGTCACACGCTGGTCTTTAACCTCGGATTAAATATTTTTTTTTACCTCTGGTTATTTTATGGTTAACCTTAAGTGGAATGGGTTCCATTGTTAAATGGAAACGAGATGGTTACATGAATTATTGCGGGTTAGCCCTGTAATGATTTAGAAAATGGTCAGTTAATTTATTAGAGGCGGCCCCTTAAAGACGTTTAAGTAAAGTGATATTTTATATGGATGGTTAAATAGTGGACCTATTTATCTCATTCAAAGTGAATACCCTTCACCTAGAGGAATGAATTAATGCCTCGCCTTAACTTAAACGGTTTCAATGTTAAGCGCTAGACAAACCTCATCCCTTTGTATGTTATATGCTGCATCTCCAATTGGAACACATTTTGTTTACGTAAACCATCTTATTTCTCAAACAATGTACAGCAAATGCTAGAAATTCACTTATAGAAAATGAGATATGACATAGTGTAATTACCGTAATAAAACGAGTTATATATTTTCATTAAAGGTGCAGTTTCGAGGGCTTATGTAATCCTATTTAAATAACAGTTTGGCTAAGTAATAGATCACTAACTTTATCATGCTCGTTATGTGTTTGCGTTTACCTCGCTGCAACAGTTCCACCCATAATGCAATTGGTCGGCACCATTTTAAAATTTTGGCTCTTTCTGACACATTTTGTGCGATTCGACCTCATTGTTAATACGTTTTTAAACTATGCATGGGACTTGTTGTGCCTTAAATTTGAAAGTATGAGAGACGACATTGCGGTGAACACGTGTCAAAACATGATGCGTTACATTAAAACTACTCAAGTGGCTCTGACATCTATTCACGTGGTGCAATAATGTGTGTTATACAACAGGCAATTTTTGAGTCACGTGCACAATTGGACTTTGAAACCCTCCTTAGGTAAGGTGCTTTTACTGATCATAAAAAAGTAGAGCCTCTCATTTAAAAAAAATAACAGGGTGGATTTAATTATTTACTAAGTAATTGTACGACTTGTTATAGCTTGCAGGCTTATGTTGGCTGTGTTCACACGACCTACATACGGTGATCTAAATAACTGCAGCGTTGACTTAAACCATGATGTACCTTGGTAATCGCAGGTCTTTTATAATTATTATTACGTCCTTGCCTTTATCGGCTGAGAGGATGACTGTCATGTCTGTTTTTTTAAATTCGCGAGTTCAGAACGTTCATATTGTTTCTCCCTCCATACAGAAATAACCACTTGATACTCCGATCAAAACCATCACACTGCCATATATAGCAGGCGTTACTTAAAAGATCTCCAAAATTCTAAACAAACACAAGATCCTGGTCCGGTTCAATACAGTACACAAAATCCGTGACCTGAAACCTTCCGTGAAGGATGTCATTCCTGACTTACAGTACCCCGGAGTTTACAGATTGATCTGCACCTGTGGTGACTGCTATATCGGGGAGACGAAACGACATGTCTGACCGAATTCGCGAGCACAAATCAGATTTGAAACGGCAGAACGAATTCCTCTGCCGTAGCTGATCACTGTTAAAACGCTGTGGGTGATCACGATATAATTTTCTCCGATACCAAGGTTCTTTGCAAACCCACGGGTTTTTATCAGAGATTTGTTCACGAGGCAATTCAGATTTACAAACACAGACACAATTTCAACCGAGAAGATGGTTTCAAATTAAGCAACCATTGGAAATATGTTCTAAATCGAACCAAACATTAAACTAATTTTCAATGGTACAGTATATTTTTTCAAGTAGTGGTATCCCAAACTTTTGCAGCTGCTTAAATTCCCTTTTCACACCATCAATATGTAAACTCCCCCTCCCCCCCTCGCCGGTCTGCACATGTTCACCCCCTCTACACCGTTCATGCTAAGTCCGCCAATTAAATGCTGATTGTTATGCTAATTCCTTTGTCAAGGCACCTTAATTCCTCTCAAACAAGATTAAAGGTCGCGGTCTGAGCTTGGCTGTTCACTCTAGCGCTGTCCTCGAGACAGTCTGGTCCCTTCACCTGATGAAGGCCACTTGTGTTGTGGCCGAAACGTCGTGATTTTTTTATTTTTAGTTTTATACTTTGACGTGACTTTACCGAATAGAACCAAAGAGTATGTATATGCACTCCATGGGTAATATGGTGTAACAAATTATCGTTGGACCTGCGTGGAGGTGCCAGTCGTCTTATGCGATCCATGCTGTCTGCATCGTTTAGAGCGTGATGATATAACTACTCTCAATACGTGGGAGTGATGGGGCAGCGATTAGTGCACTGTGCCATGAAGTCGGTGGATACCTGGCCATAGCTAGCATCAATGGAGAATGATATCAGAAGCGGGCTTCTTTGCCCCCCCCCACCGCTTTTGCCAACCATCAATTTCAGCAATCTATTTCACAACACTGCTAGAACGCAACATTAACCCTACTATAGAGCTATGCTACCAGAGATATGGATTTTTGGCTTGTCATTTTACTTTTAAAGGTAACCAAATGTAAGAATTAATTAATGCTTCCACGCGTTTTTTTAGACATCTCAAGACAAACAATCAGCTGATTTTTAGCACCCCGAATGTGTTTGTAATCCTTGTTTACTCTCTTTCCCTTTGCCCTCCTTTCCCCATCACTGTGCCCTCTTTCACCACATCTCACAAAACAGGGATCAACAGTGGTTTTTACAACACGCTTGTGGTTTTTACGGCGTTTGATAACGACGGGCAAATGCTATTGAAAATCTTGATTTGAAGCTTTTGTGACTGCAGGAATCCATACTCTTTGGTTCTTTCTGTAAAGTCATGTAGATAGAAAATTAATAGATCACGACGTTTCGATCGCAACGCAAGCAACCGTCATCAGGTGAGACATACACAGCAGGAGAACTGCTGACGCAGTTAACGGATTCTTATTGGCCTTGAGTATTCCTTGTTGAATTACTGACGTTACAATTTAAAACGCAGTACACCTTTGACTTTTCCTCCCAATTGGAGAGAATCAAAAACAGCGTGGGTCGCAGTTCTATACAGGCGTGTAAGTATGGCCCAGCGGCAACACGTTCACCAGTAGTTGCAGAGTTTCACGGTTCGAATCCAGTGCCAACAGTCCTAATTAATACTGCGGGTGTTATTAACCGTGACGACACGTGTCGTCTGTTTTTCATTGGATGTTAAATATCCTGTGACGTCTATGGGAAGAGTAGGCTATTTTGTGCCGGCATAATGGTCCCATGGTAATCCACTCCTCGTTCTCCTCTGATACAATAATGCACCCGCACACAAACACACACACACGGGGGCACTCGCGCTTGCACGCATGCACACACGCACGCACACAAAGGTCCCCGTATAGCCTTAACACACCTGGCAAGTGCTGCTAGCGAGCACGGGACGCGAGAGGGTGGGTGGCTAGCACCACTCCTGACTGCCTTTGAATCCCCGATATTTACACACCGCACCAGGTACTTATTTGAAGCCGAGTCGGACCAAGGACCGGTTCGGATAATCGTCACTGGTGTTGGCTGTGAGCTGGAATCGAACACGAATTGTACAACACGCTAACCGCTACGCTCCTCTGATGCAATAATCCACCTGCACAGGGTCAAACCCTTGTCAATGTTATTTTTGTGCCGTTATATATTACAATTGACGTTCTTGTTATAGTGGAAAAAAACATTAAACAAGTATTGTATGTACCTCTTGGTGGTTGACATGAACTATACGTACACTGTCATCGCTACTGAAGCGTATATACTATGTTGAACTTCTTTCGCACCGTACGTAGCCAATGGGGGGGACCCAACAAATAAAACAGCAGTTGGATGTAACTGCTGTGCATTACGCCATTTGGGTGGTGTGTTCAACTCGCACGTCATCTGATGAATTTGTCTTTGTTCCCATTCAGCAAGGGGTGTATAAGAAAACGTGTAAACATTACCTGTCACGCATTGTGACTCATATAACTGGTGACGACACGTGTTGGGAAATGCGCAGAACAAGCCTGCATACTTGAGCTGAATGCACAGCTGTGTACCTTTGAGCATCATTGTTCAGTAATGGTTTGAGACATTGACAAGTACATAATATCACATTAAAATGGTGTTTGTCTTTTATTTTTCGCCTGTGGGTGAACTGTTTGGACTGTTTTTTGCAGGCTCCCGTGGAGAGCTGTGCACGTGCCATAAATTAACAGTTATATAATCACACTGGCTTTGAGTTCAGTCGCGTTGTCAGCTTTTTCTGGTTAGCTTGGAGGAACTAAACAAACCGATCTCTTGGTAACGTTTATGATAAGCAGTGTGCTCTAGCGGTTGCCGAATGTACAGTGCCTCCGCGTGGTCCGCTTAATCAAACACTCCTTTTTATTTCACCTCGGAAACGCCACCAACAAACCCAGCGTCTATGAAATGTGCATAGGTCATCGAGAAGAAATTACAATGCAATAATTTTCTGTTTTTGTGCTACCATAACTGAATTGAGACATTTTCTGTTTACTTAATTTACGCTAGCTGTTTTAAATGTCCCCCTGCACTTAATTTTGTGAGTGGATTCTCCTGATCTATACTGGCCCATGAAGGGTCCAATACTTCATAATCGCACTTTTATAGTGTGCAGTTGATGCTTAAGTGAAATGAATTCACACAGTACCAGGATTAGTATGACTAAATCATTCAGAATGCACGTGATCTTATCAGATCCCGTAAGCTAAGCAGGTTTGAGTCTGAACAGTGATTGAATAGGTGACAACCTTGCATAGCGAGCTGTATGTAGGCTGTGGGGCTATTTGCAACAGAGGTCCGTGCACCAAGATCCGTTGTTGAACTGTGCTCTGCGTCCACGTTTATGCTGCCTGCCCTTACTAACCCGCACTGACCAGTGAAGCGAAGTATGGATAAATAAACCTCCATGACCTGTACCGCACGAGGAGGCCTTCAGGGACTTTAGAAAATAGTTTCATATATACATGATATATACATCAAGCTTGGCACTGATGTTATGGCAGTCAGACATAAATCCAAAATCATGTTAACGACAGTGATGTTTGTCTCGCAGAACCTTTTGGCGGTGAGCTTCGCAACAAAGAGTCTGCGCATCTTTGAAAGGCAGCTCGGTGGGGGCGAGCAGGAGATTTTCATTCCTTAACAATGGGCTCTACGGCGTCACGGTACAAGACTTTCGGCGGTGGCGGCGGTGGCAATGACAGCTCGGGACCTCTCGCGTCCGGGAGCCCCAACGGGAACTTGGGGGTGCTGCCGTCTCGAGATGAGGACATCGGGGAGGGGACGGCTGTGGCGCCTGCTGACATCTCGCAGTTCCCCTACGTAGAGTTCACGGGCAGAGACAGCGTGACGTGCCCCACTTGCCAGGGCACAGGACGTATACCCAGAGGTACGGGTAACAGTGCGTCGTCACGTGAGGTTCCATTGATCGCGCACGGCTGCAATTATAATTACTGTCGGCCTTTGTCAATTCACTGTCAGGTTCGAGGCGTATGCATGCCATTGCCATCCCTCGTAGGCCTGAGATTCAGCAGTCTCAGTCGTGTGCTTGAACGGAAGCATCATGCTTGGGCACGTGCTCTCCCTTGGTTGCCATTCTGTCTCTAGCCTTGTCCATTGGCCTTCCTGGCAATGTGTGCTTCTCAAGCCCACTTTATAAATTCATTGTTGTTTCTGATTTGTAATTGTTCACCGATGCATGCCCTCTGCTTTCTGTTTCTCACCGTAAATCTGAATGCATTAAACACCGAAATTCATATTTCCTGTTACATTCTGTGTCAAACAAATTTTCACTGAAGGTGTTTAATGCAAATTGACCAATGATGCGGACAGTGATTTTTAGATTAAAAAGGACCACTTTCCTTGAAATAAAATGCAACTTAAATTTTTTTTTTAAAAGTAATGCCTCTACGAAAGTCGTTTTTAACATGCTGCAGGTTTACAATAATCCTTGGTAGTTGTGCAAAAGCTGTTTTTTACATGCGGTCTTGTTGCGTGTGGTTGCACGACAAATATCTTTAGTGATACAATTTGGTCACGGTGGAGTGAGTCCAACTGAGTCGCAGACGTCTTGGGAGCAACACATTTTATTAAACTCGGGGCTAGTAGTTTAAAATAATTGTCAAAAGTTTTAATGTAACAATTCAATACTTAATGCTTAACAATCATCCACAAGTCCTAGTTTTGTGAGTGGGTTCGCTGAACAGGCTATACATTTACATTTTTACATAACAAGTGCTAACATACACTATTAGGGCTGCCTAATTGCATTTTTCTATTTATGTGTTTTTGTTTGAATTCGTGCTGTTTATTCGTTTAGTTTGTTAAGGTAGTGGTATGAATAGTAATAATTGTCATTTTCAATTAAAAGTCTCAGTCTTAAAAATAACTTTTCACGAGGGTGAGTTCCAAGAATTTAGGGCTTTGCATGTGGCAGCACAACATACATAACATACTTGGAGGAAATAATCCACGCATTAAGACTTAACACAACTCCCTGCCATTCAAGTACTAACCAGACTAACCTGGTTTTGATTCTGAGATCTGATGAGGTTGGTTGAATCCAGGGTGGTTTGGTTCTTCAAAAAACATACCTGTTCGCAACTAGGATAACATTTCATATTTTGTGTGAATACATTAGAGTAAGGTGCCATTTTGTAGCCGCTCATCCCGCGCTATAAATGCCTGGATAGTGCATTGTCTTTGTACTGTTTACCTTTTGGCGTCCTCTGGTTTACGCTGGTGAAATTAGGCCCTAACGAAGGCTGTTTCTAGTGTAGACCAATCGGTTTCAAAGACAATGCGCATATTATCAGAGCATGTTTTATTTGCATGTTCGCCACAAGTACGTGTGGTTAATGCACACATGAGTCATTGCAAAAGTTTTCTATTTGTTGTTTGAACATCTTAACACCTGTTTTTATTGCTCGAAAGGGTAAAACCTTTTTTTTCATACATTAGAGTACTGATTAAGAAAAAAGGATAAACAACCTGTATTTGACACATTCCACCAAACGACACACTGCTCAATGGGAAACAGCTTGTTACCGACATTGAGATGTTAAGAAATAACTATGTTTTTGGATTATGGAAAGCTGCAAAATTTGCACAAATTAAAAATTTGGAAATTGATTCAAATTAGCTGCCATTTCTCCTATTTCGTTATGGTCTCCACAAGTCCGGCGACCAAGGGGAAGAGCGGGTGGAAGCATACTGTAAGGGCAAATCTTGGAGGTCGCTAGTCTACTTTGCAGCAGATGTGGGATCTGGCAGAATGCGTTGGTGAGGCGTGGAAGCATCAAGCGTTTTGCCCATGGTGAAACCGTGATCATATTGGAAATTCAGTAACGGCTTGTGGATTAGAGGGTTTAAATCACAAAATTATAATCTTATATGATTGCTGTAGTTGGTTGTCAACAGTTTACAATGAAAATGATGTTCAGACTACCAACAGAAACTGCAGTGACCCATCCAATATAAATGACAAAGGAAACAAGCAACCATTAGAAATCACTAGTCTTGTGGTGCTTTAATTGTATTCTGGTGGCGCATTCCATGCTGCTGTTTGTGCCATAATAATTATCATTGAGTGGTATAACACAGACGGTGAAAACATGCCCACGACAGCTTGTGTTTTTCTTGGCAGAGCAAGAAAATCAGCTGGTGGCACTGATCCCATACAGCGATCAGCGGCTGAAGCCCCGAAGGACGTACGTGGTTTGTCTCGTCTTGTGATTAGCAGTGACTGGCAAGGATTGTCTGGTTATAACACACCTCCATCCAGAGATATGTTACGATACAACTAGTCTTTATTGCAGTCATGTGGGGGATGAACATTGTTGATCCTATTATCACCCATGGTAATCATTAATGTACTCCTCTTGTCATTGCCGTGAGACTCTACTTATCCACAATAAATTTACAGATAATAAGAAGCTGTGCGAGAGGAAATGTGGCGATTGCAGCTAATCGCACTCCTAGCCATGCAGATAGTAGTCTACTGTATTAATGTTACTCTTTGGTTTTTTCGGTTAAGTTACGTAGGTAAAATAAAAGAAAACAACTAAATTAAATCACGACGTTTCGGAGGCAACACAAGCTTCCGTCTTCAGGTGGCACAGACACAGCAAAATTCGATGTATCCACAAATAAACAGCTCTGGAATACCCGAGATTATATACAGGTTAAGGGGGGGGAGGAGCCAGGAAGGGACGTAGGTGGGGAGGGCTAAGTTAAGCCGCCTTTTGTTATGCTGCAAGGGGTTCGGGGGGAGCGGTGGTGCACTGCAAGAAAGCGGGTAAAACCCACCTTTTGTTATGCTGCATGGGTTCGGGGGGAGGGAGATGGCGTGCTGCACGAGCGCAGGCACCATCCTGGTATAAACAGAAACGGCTGTACAATTATAACCCAGCTAACGTTTAACTTGGTTGATGACATCTTTCCAAAAGTTGCTCAATTTTAAACCATCCTCTTGGTTGAAATTGTCTGTTTGTATATTTGGATGGCTTCATGGACAAATCTTTGGTAATAACTGGGAGGTTTGCATAGTACTTTGGTATCAGAGAAAATAATGTCATGATAACCTGCTGTGTTGAAACAATGATCAGCTACGGCCGAAGAATTAGTTATACCGTGTTTCAAATCTGATTTGTGCTCGCAAATTCGGTCAAATGTGTCATTTCGGCTCCCCGATATAGCAGTCGCCACAGGTACAACTCAATTTGTAAACATCGGGGTACTTTAAGTCAGGAATGACATCCTTTACGGATGGGATCGGATCACGGATTTTGTGTACTGTATTGAACCGGACCTGGATCTTGTGTTTGTTTAGAATTTTGGAAATCTTTTTGGTAACACCTGCTATGTATGGCAGTGTGATGGTTTTGATCGGAGTATCAGGAGGTTGTTTCTGTATGGTGGGAGACACAGCTTGGCAACTTTTAGAAAGATGTCATCACCAAGTTAAACGTTAGCTGGGTTATAATGGTACAGCCGTTTCCGTTTATACCAGGATGGTGCCTGCGCTTGTGCAGCACGCCATCGCCCTCCCCCCGAACCCCCTGCAGCAAAAAGGGTGTTGTACTCGCTTTGTTGCAGTGCACCACCGCTCCCCCCGAACCCTCTGCAGCATAACAAAAGGCGGCTTAACTTAGCCCTCCCCTCCCCACCCACGTCCCTTCCTGGATCCTCCCCCCCCCCCTTAACCTGTATATAATCTCGGGTATTCCAGAGCTGCTCATTTATGGATACAGCGAATTTTGCTGTGTCTGTGTTGCCTCTGAAACGTCGTAATTTAATTTAGTTTTCTTTTATTTTACCTACATGACTTTACCGAAAAAACCAAAGAGTATGAATCCTTGCAGACACGAAAGCTTCAAATCTAGAATATATTAATGTTTAAAACCCAGCAGACCAAGCCGCTGGTAGTTATGAAATAATTGTTCCAGATATTGGTTAAATTTTTATAATATAAGTGCCTGAACAGTGAAATGAGAGAAACCAGAATGATAATACAGCCAGTACAATTTGGGTGAATGCCTTTATATAAATTGCAAGAAGAAGTAGCGTGCACACGTGCTATGATACAGCACAGAGGTGTGGTACTCTGTATTGCCATTTTTTATACCCGCGGCATTCGTTCAATAATCCATAAAAAAAATCCTGTGGTGAGCTTAATAATAGGCTTCGTGTAAAGTGAAAAAAAGGCTTTTGACATTGTTTAGCCACAATGAAAGTTATAAATGGGCAGACTATGAAATCTGACATAATTATGTGGTGGTTAAGTCATGATGTAATACGATTTACAGTATAGTTTTTTACAACCTGCATATGCTCTATCTGACCTTGTTTAAATGTGATGTAATATTCTGATGTGATTAATGCGTGCGAATTCAGTCGCTGTTCTCTTTCGCTGTAAACTGAACAGTTTTCCAAAGTTAATGCAACACAAAAAATGCATCGAACACAAAATGAAATGACATTTGCATTCAAATTGAGCATGGAACAAATTGACTCAAATTAAGTGTACAGTATGTGTGTGCGTGATCGAAACCTACCCAGCAGGTTCATAGTACAATTATGTGCTTGTTGTGCTCCCTCTCTGCCAACTATTTGCAACTTTACATTTTATTATTTCTATGCCTTTGGAGCACTTGTTTACTGCAATTATTTGCTCTTTATAAATTAAGTACATCACACTTCGAGGATACATTTGCAAACTCAATTATATGCCCAAATTGTTTAGTGCATTTTGGGTTTTCCTTAAGTGGCTCTTAGTCTGTGGAAGTTTAAATTCATGTAAAGATTAAGACAATTTTAATCTAGGCTTAATTTTCATCTCGACAGCAGACTTGCTATTCATGTCATCTCACTCCACATCTCTCTGTAACAATCGCACAAGTTAACTTCATCACTCCATGTCTCCAGCCCTTGCTATCTTGGCTGTGTTCACTGCTCTGGGTGCCACTCTTGAGTCTCGACGACCAGCTGTCATCCCTTGTTGCGGCGTGTCCTGCCCAAGCACCCTTATATTTCTCAACACAAGTTTGAGACTTGTAATTGACTGTTTAGATACGGCTGATGTGTTTTTCATTATAAGAGCCTGTCCCTTGCTATTATTGCAGCGCTCTAGTCCAGTCTAGTGTGCGGGGCCACATATTACGCACCGCATGTTGATGCAGCCTAATATTGCACGACTTTGACGCCATGTGTCGCACGCAGCAAGCTGTACGTGCTGCTGTCGGTCTTCTCCTGCCTGCTTGTGTCGGGGCTCATCGTCTACTTCCTGTTTCCGCGCTCGGTGGACGTCACCAACGGAGGCATCAAGTCGGCGCTGGTCACATTCAACGCCAACACCAGCACGGTCTACATAAACATCACGGTACGCGGTGCCGGATGACCGACATGAGTTCACTCTTGATGTGCCAAATGCGGTTTTGCCAAGTGGCCGGACAGGAACAGCCTGGCGGTCGTCTCACTTGGCCGCTGCCTCGGCTTAAAACGGGCTGCTGATGCAGTTCTGGCAAAGCATGCCATCTGTTATATGGTTGTTAATAAATTTGCCACAATAACATGTTCAAGGATATGCTTGTGTGCCAGGTCATAGCTTAAAATTGACAGATTTAAATGTGTATCTACAACTTTATTGTGAATAATGACAACCTTAGTCATGTAACTTACGGTTTATCATATTTATATTTGCAAAAGTTATAAAATGTCGTATCTTTTTTGTGTAATTGAACCTAATGGCTGGACCCCGGGGTCCCATAATTCCCCGGCTCTCGCATAAACTGTGTTGCGACGTCATTTTATGTCTGTTGAAAGCGAACGATACGGCAATCTATTCCTCTCGAGGAGCTCTATACGATGCGTTGATCAAAGTTTTCTTTCTTCTGCGCATTCGTCCTCGCTGCGCCTGTACGACATGACAACAGAATGATCGGTCCCAGGTGGGACGTGGCGTTTATGTTCGCGGTGGAATGGAGTCGCCAAAAATAAATAAATTAATCACGCTTTTGCCTTCCGGTTATTCGGGACCCTAGGGTTCCGCCGTAAGGTTCATTTGCTAAACTGGACATGCAACACGACAACATTACAATGTAGGCTGAGGCCTGACGAACCCCTTTTTTAAATTGATCTTTCTTTGGTGTGCTAAATTTTCATTATTGTAGCTCTTGTTTTTTTTATGTCCGTTTGTTTGGAGGTTTCTTTTAAAAGCAGCATACGTAACTGTGAATCATGACAGGTTATTCAACAGTTGCTGCATTGTGGTGTACAGTGGTTCACTCAGCTGCCTTTCTTCCACAGAGCTCCCTGAACATTACGAACAACAACTTCTACTCTGTGTACGTGATGAACATCACATCGCAAGTGCAGCACCTCAAGACCGTCATAGGCACGGCACGCTTCACCAATGTCACCCACATTGCCCCACTCAGCCAGAGCCAGGTAAGAAAATACACACGCCAACATGCACATCTGTTTGCTTGTGAAGATATACTCCCCTTATATTCCCTGTATAATTTTAGAAGTACCGTAGGGAGTGGGGCTATATGGTGGGCAGCAGAGGAGTAGTGCAGGATATTCCATTGTTGTACTGTGTTTATATGCTACCACGCCTATGCTTCCCACCTTCAACCCACATTGACCAGTGTCGTCAAGTATGGTATAAACAACTCCCATGACCTACATGGCATGGAAAAGCCCTTATTAAATGGTGGATTGATTAAGGGCTGTACAGGTGTAGTGAGTCCAACTGAGTCGCAGACATTGTCTTGGAAGCAACACTATTTATTTCAGTAGCTCAACATAACAACGTACACTTGGGTGTTGAATGCCCATCTAGCCACGCTACGGCAGAACTAGACACGGTTCACTATCCTGGCCCGGACCACAAGCTGGGTCCCGGACCGCGTGGCTAGAAGCTTCTTTTACCCGACATGGATCTTCATCGCCAGCAACACGAAGAACCCAGAGCCCCTCACGGGCCCCCCCCCCCCCCGTTATATCGGCCTGGGCTGGGGCTGGCTCTGTCCCTCGCCCCGCCCACCTTCTAGATCTCTCAAGCTCTTTCCCGAAGGCTCCCCAAGAGCTCTTTTATACCACGTGACCGCCCAGCGGCCCCCGTCCACCGGTGGCCCCCCTCCAATATCATCCGGTCACGTGTCGGCAGATCAACCAGCGTATCATGCCCCAACGTAACCCTGGCTAGCTGACACTCCCTCTCGCTCCCTCACCGGGAGCCCGCACCGCACACTGTACGTGGTGCCTCCATGCTGACCAGCGCTCACCCAAGCCCCGCTAGGGCTGGTACTACACCCAGTAAGCGGGCTACACATAATGCCAACGCATTATCCGCCGTGGCTTCGTAAGCCCGGCACCACACAGTGACATTCACAGTCACTACACAGGTACTGTAGGGGACCTCTATTGAAGCACATTGGTCTTTTAAGAAGCGGGTTGATTATAACCGTACTGGACTGCCTTGGTCTTCCTAGTGCTTTTGTTGACTGCACAGCTTGCAAATATGAACTTATTAAAAAAAAATCCAACATATACTTATACTTGCACACATGTAAGCTCTCGATATACTGCCTGCAAGGTGATGATTCATTGCCTAGGTTTAAACGGCATGTTAATATGTGCAATTTGAGTGAACTACCAACTTAAATGCTCATGCAAGTGAGTTGTGAACGCCAGTTAATGAAAAGCCAATCTGTCTCGCTATACTGGAGAAAATTTAGATTTTTAAAATTCATTTAACATGAGCCTTGCTCCCGGCACAATACAAGAACGTCATCCTATGACACTTTAACTCAAGGTTCTCGAGCAGATAAGCTGCTGTCCACCAGCTTCTCTGCTAGGGAACCTTGTGGGTAGCTGAGGGAACAGGCACAGGCATCGAGGCTGCTAAAGATTGGCTGTGGCTGGCAACTTGGGGTTAGGGAGCAAAATAAATTCTAAAGAAATGGGTTTTCAATCTAGATTTAAAATTGCACATCTCCAGTGGCTCTATAATACTGGTAGGAAACGTAGTGGACTGGAAGCCCAACCGGGATTTATTCACAGGAGGCAGGGGATTAATTGTGTGTCTGTGGATGTCTGTCCACGTGTATCCGGACACCCGGATATATAACAAATGCGCTCCTAGTGGGCATTACTGGTAGGAAACGTAGTGGACTGGAAGCCCAACCGGGATTATCACAGGAGGCAGGGGATTAATTGTGGATGTCTGTCGACGTGTATCCGGACACCCGGATAAAATGGGAGGGGTGGGGGAGGGGGTGGGGGGTGGGAGGGGTGGGGCTGGGTGGAGAGGGGCTGGTTACCCCGTGGTGCCCTTATAAAACTGAACGTTTAACCTATTCACGCCGGCTTTTGCCCGCCTTCACAGTCTGGCATATTTGCGGAATACACCACGCCGCCGTTGACCCTGGCCATTGACCGAGCAACCCAACGTTCCTACCAGCTCCCTCCGCAGGAATGTGTTATTAGAAGGAAGAACATTCCAGATGGCCGCAGAAGCGCATCCGAAAGCGCGCGATACACTGACTATCTTTGTTCGATGGCCAGCCAAAAGCTGCTTGGAGGATGAAGGGAGGAAGCTTGCTTATGGGCGCTTTCGAGAGGGACCCGAGAGAGATTGGTGCAGAAGGATGCCAATAAGCCCTATCTTGGCATAGGCTGCTACACTTCTTCACCAGCCACCTCATCTGAGAAGAATTTTAAAGTAAACACATTAATATCAATGTTTCTTCATCCTGCTTTGCAATGTCTTGTTTGTTCTGTTGATGAGCAATGTTGACCTGGGTGTGTCTCCTGCTTCAGATCGACTTCACCATCAATACAGAGATCAGCAATGGTTTATCTTACGTCTAGTAAGTTTGATTTTGCCCCACCATCTTGATTTCTGCAAATGTTGCATAGGTTAAGTTTTTGCATCGAATATTTGCTCTTTATTTATTTTAATGTGTTTTTTTTTTATTTATCCCCTGCAGCTACTACTGCACCTTGCCAACAATCAAGGTCCACAACATAGTAGTGCTCATACAGTAAGTGCAATTACTTTTACCTTTATGCAAATGCACTTATACTCTTTGCCCATGCACAAAATGTTTCAGAAATATTCTGTTTTCCTTTCGTTATTTGTCCTCCTTTTTGACGGGGTCGTGTTCTCTTGACGTTGAGGTCATGTTGGTTAGATCTCAAGGTTCACAAAGTGGATATTGAGAAATCTTGATGTTAAAGGTCCTGCGACATTATTATAAAAATGAGGCTATTGTTCGGCAGTGTCAAAGCTTAAAGAGGTATGAAAAAATTACCATAATTACATTGTAACAAATTGGTATCTGAGTGGCCCAGGGGACTTAATTCAATGTCACAGAACTGAGCCAGCACCTCTGATATTCTGGGTTAAGAGTCCAGGCAGCCATCCTTGATTAAAATTGTATCTGAAGTATAGCCAATTAATCTCATCCGAGTCAATGAAGATTGAAAAAAGAACATTGTGTTATATTTAGACCTAATTTGGCAAAATGTGACCGAGAATTATGAAATGTGGTTTTATTTGAAAGGGATAAACACTTTGTTTAGTATATAAAAGGGATGCCTTGAGTGTGATTACATTTGAGCCTGAAGTAGTTGAGTAACGTCACCTTATGGGAATAGTTTCTGAGAGTGATGCACTTAATTTTTAAAGATATCCATTCATAAATAAAGGTTTTTGGGTTAGATCGCGTTTATTTATAAATGTGTCTTAACCCTCCACCACCCGACATGGCCAATCAGCAAAAAAAGTGTCGCGTTGACAAAAGACAAATAATTCACTACTTTAGCCCACCGGTGTGTTGAAGAGTGAATCCACATTTACAGTTTGAGTACGACGTTTCGCTGGTAAATACATCCAGCATCATCGGGCAATTCGCCAGAATGGTAAAGCCCTCGCTTGCTCCCGGTTTTATATAGAGCAGCAGGGTGACGTCATCACTTAACTCATATCAGGTGCAGTGATTAGAGGCGGAGGGGGGGGGGTATTGTAATTATATAATCGATTAGTAATCAGTCATTGGTTATGATTAGTAATGAGTTGTAGATTAGTAATTCTTTAAATCAAAATGTAATGTGTATTATTTAATAATACGCTTCCAGGCCGCACTAAGCCTGTAGCTGTCAGAGCGATTAAAGTTATTCTTGTTCCTCTCAATTTCAATGGATTCTCTAATTAGTCTTTGCCAGTAATAATTAGTTTTTACACACCACTGCAACATTGTCAAAATCAATTGAGTGTCCTTGTTGACAAGCATGTTCTGCCACTGCCGACAGTTGTGTTTGAGATAATTTAATATTTCTCTGATGTTCTTTTAGTCTTACGCTGATGTTACGTCCCATCTGCCCAATGTAGCAGCTGCCACATGAACAATTAATCCGATATACACCTTCTGTTGATAGTTTAGGTAATGCGTCTTTAGTGCAAGATACTAGTTTTTGAATTTTGTGTACTGTACCAAATCTTACTGTAAAGTTTTGCTTTTGCAAAACACGGGCTAATTTGTCAGTTACTCCTGAGATATATGGAATTTTTATTGTTTTAACAATCTGGTCGCTTTCAGCAGTATTGCTTTGCGATCGTGATTTGGCATTCAGTGCTCTGTTAATTTGAGCATTATTGTAGCCATTCTGTCGTAGTGCGTGTTAAAAAGATATCCATGTTCAAATTGGATCAGTGATTCTATTTCAAAACTGATTTGGAGGCTTGCACAACAATGAACGCTGGATTGGCTAAATGGAACAGAATGTTGGTGTACGGTTATATCACCATTGCCACCACTAAGCGAAGATGATAATGACCTTTCTTTACCCACGCAGGTCAACGGTGACGACTTCTTACGTGTGCCATGCCGAGCAGGACTCCATTGAGAGCTACGAGTACGTGGATTGTGGCTCCAACACAACATATCACCACGGCCGCTTCGGTGTGGCCCCCGCTGGGGGCTCCGGCCATCTCGTCTGAAAGCGCCTCCCCCACCCACCCACCGTAGGGTTAAGATGCTGTGACGTATTGCACAATCCCTTCAGCATAGGCATCGTTACGGGAAGGTACGGCCATTCCTGCAGCTTGTAGGGGCGGGGGGGGGGGCATGCATGAAGAGGTGCCGAGTTTCTTTTTAGGGCCATGCGCAAACCTGAAATGTGCCACAGCGAGATTCTGTGGTGGAACGGAGCGTGCCAGTACGCCCAGATGTGTCTTAACCATGCGAGTGCAGTCTGGACGTTGTCCCGCAGAGCCATCTGTAAGGGCTTGGAATGACCCAAGTGTCTTTTCACTGTGTTTTGCATGGATGTGTTTGTCTCATTCCTCCATTTGTGCATTATTACTGCTGTGTTGGTGGGGTGATATTTTCCACTTAATTTATTTTGTTGCTCCGAAGAAATTTTGCTTCAGCAGTGTGGAAGGCTAAGCATTGTCCCAATGTATTGTAAGTAAAATGAAGACACCCTTAGGAATGGTTTACTCATGTTTTGAGTGCGTTTGTGAGCATAATTAATTTACTCTACACACTTCATGTTATCACCCCTCCCTAAAACCCTGTTTTGGACACCAATATTTTTCCTGCATTGTAAATCACATCCTTACGCACACATTAATTTAGCAAGTCAGTGTTTTTGCATTGTCCTATTGTTGAACACGCTGTACATGGTGTTTGCACATTGTTACCGCTATCGTTGTAATGCTAAATAAATGTTTAGGAAGCATTTTTAAAGAATAAGTTAGGGTAAAATTGAGAGTTGACAATGCTGGATTGGGGTAATTCAACATGCTTTGTTATATTTGTTGTATATTAGACATTTAATAAGTGTAGAGTAAACACGATGTACAGTATTACCAAACATGTTGACATTTTTATTTCCAATAAATAAAATGTACATGTAATGATTACAAATATAACGTAAATCGTAACTACTATTGTTGGTATGTCCAGAGATTAGTGCCAAGATGAGGCAATGGAAATTACACCATTATTTGAATACACAGAAAAAAATACACCAACTTGCACCCCCAAGTCTTGATTCAAGAGCAGTGCCTAGTGGATATTATTGGAAGTTACTAACTTCTTAACATAACTTTTGTACTGTAATTAAAATATATACTTTTCGAACGATAGCACACTAATAGAGGTTTTTTTGGGTTAGGTCGCGTGAATATTAATGTGTTTGTTTAACCTGCCACCACCCGACACAGCCAATTAGTAAGGTTTGTCACGTAAACATAACATGCCGATTTATTACAACATTTACAATCCGAGTTCGATGTTTTGCCAGTCTCGCCAGTAATTATAACTGGCATCAGACGGCAGCCAAATTTGGGTGCTTTTGTTTACGTGACAAACCTTACTAATTGTCTGTCGGCTAGTGGCGGGTTTAACAACACATTTAGGCGATCTAGCCTAAAAAAAAAACCTGTGGATGATATTGGTCACGAAAGCGTACGTGTTATACTATAGCAGCACACTGCTTTGTTGTATAAAAATATAACAATTAAAAGACAGCAGGACTTGGTGAAAAATGTTCTTGGTATCTTCTCTGTATTTTAATCCTTGTGATCTTCATTCGTTGGATAACATGAGAAACCTGTGGAACCTAGAACCTATGCACCGTCGTTTGTAGTGAATGCTTGTACCGTTGATTTGCTGGATGCTGCTGACTAGTTTATTAAGCTAAGTATAAAGCATACAAATACTTGTTCTCAATGTGGTTTTTTGCCATTTCATTTCCAATATTGTATCATGCCCAGGATAAAATATTGAATATTTTTGTGTTTAGAGATGGCTGGGTGGCTGAGGGATTTGAGCAATGAGCCAGCATCACTGAGATTCTCGATTCGAATACGGAGCTATCTGTGCTTAAGGGTTCTCAAATGTACCAATTTGATTGTACCAGAATAGATACCTATGACTACATGCACACGCAAGACATTTTGGTTATTCTCTTAATATGCAAAAAAACCCAGCTCTGAGAATGATTGATTGATAATGGTGTGTGTGGTGTGTATAAAAGAAAATATTTTATTAATTGTATAATATGGACTCCCATATTACACCGGCAGACAAAACATCTGCCTGTCGCCTGAGGAAGCTCGTTATTACTGCGATACGTCATACTCGCATTGTAAATATCGTGACTTGGCTCTCTTACACACCGGTGTGCTGTACTAGTAATGAATTGCCATGTTCTGTTTACGTGACAAACCTTACTAATTGGCTGTGTCGGGTGGTGGCGGTTTTAAACGACACAATTACCCGATCTAACTAGAAAAAAAAACTGTATTATGGATATTGGTCGCGAAAGCCAACGTGTTAAACATACACAACGGCATCGTGCCCCTGATTGGGACTTCCCATGCCAGGACCAAAGATGGTGGAGGCATATACTGTAGTGTTTGGTGGGGACACAAGTGAGTGGGTGTCACATTTCATATGGAGCTCTGCTGCGACTGACAACTGCACCGCACACCGGCGTATTCTGAACTTATGAAATTGCCGAGCGCTTCTACCCCAGTGCGACACACTGGGTTTTCCATGGGTAGCCTTTGGTGGACAAGGTCCTGAGTTTACCCAAAATGGTAGAAACCCCTTTTGCTAAATCCCACTGAGTGCAAATACTTAGTTGGTCCTCGAAATGGTCCATATTTTTCGTCTCTGTAGAGCTGAGATGATTGGTCAAAAAACCCACGAATTTTGTAGTTGATTACTTGAGCTTTTAAAATGTTGGCCACCCCCCACATCCTGGCTCTTGAACGTTGGAAACTCCCTACAAGCCATGCGAGAAGGCATTTAATGAGGCTTATAGATATTAATTGTCAATGATGAATACTGTACATGGATTAGAGAACAAGTGAAAACTAGTCATTGAAGAGAACCGAACTTGGCAGCGCATCACTCAAAGGGATGATGGGCGATGGTAGAGACTTGTCGGAATGGCATGCAAAGGAGAAACATGGCCAAGGGTGTGACCACTGCCGAGATCGAGCAATGAGATAATTTGTGTATGGATTGTGCATGTCTGATGGTGATGCCGAAATATTCCTTGGATGTAGCATTATACCAGAAGTGTCATATCTAACAACAGTTACAGGGGGTTGCATACGTGATCGGCTGCAATTGAACTGGATGTACTGCATACGCTGCATAAGCAAGACGTCACAGGATAAGACGAGTTACCTGCGTTTGCGCTTGTGGCTGTCGCAGATCTCATCTGTAAACCCCTCGCACACATTTCAGCCTCAAAGGTACATATCCATGAGTGGAGATTCGCTCTTATTTGTGCAGTATATAAAAAATAGCTCAAGAAGGCTAATAGAGACTCATATTTATTCTTTCACTAGTGACTAAAATATTTGAAAGAATACATCACAGACAAACTACTTAAAAAGTTAGTGTCCTTCATAGTAAACAGTCTGGTTTTCGAGAGGATTACTGCATCACCACAAAATTATGGATGTATTCAATTTTCTTTTCAGTAACCTGAATAAAAGCCATGACTGCTGTGCACTATTCCTCGACTTGTCAAACGCCTTTGATGTTGACCATGGTATTCTACTCAAGACTTGGTCAACTACAATTTTCACAGTGCAATATAATTTAAGAGTTCCCTCTCAGGCTCTCAAAAGGAAACAACATTTCGTCCACAAATATTTGAATAGTGTTCCCCAGGTTTCCATGCTGGGTCTTATATTTACACAATCTTGGACTAAACTTAAATCACTCGAATTAAATCTATTTGCTAATGACATTGTCATGCTAGTAGCAAGTAAATCTCCAAACGAAGTCAAACTATCTCCAACATGATTTCGACTAAATTGAATGTAATTTATCACTAAAATTGCTCCTAAATCCCAAAAACGAAGCTCATGCTTTTCAAACATCCAGTTTAATTCCCTTCCCCTGTTACAGATATTGGAAGCAACACAATTGAACAAACGGAGTGCTTGATTCAAAACTTACATTACAACCCCATAATGAATTCTCAAAGGAAGTAAAATAAAGAATAGGGTTTTTTTAGATACACTTTTCCCATTTGATTGTACCTGCAAATCGTTTTGACTACTGTGATGCTGCTTACAGATTATTTACAATGAAACACAACATACTAAACCCGTATTCTTAGCTCTTTCGGTAAAGTCACGTTGAAGGGAAACAATAAAATAATAAAAATATATATAGAACAATAATTCTCACGTTTCGACCATAACACAAACCGGTCATCATCAGGTGTGAAAACCCACGGCAAGACATTTGAAAGAAGTGGCGGTTTGCATTTATTTTTAAACGGTGTTTGTATTTATTTAAAAAAAACGTTATCACCACGGGCAGCGATTTGGCAGTTTGTTTAGAAGGACGAGTCCATCTATGTTCTGAAAAGAGGAGGGGGAGACGAAAAATTAATGTATGCTGTCTGAAAGCCACTGTAAGCGTGAACAATCAATTAAGACCTGAAATGGTTTATCAAATCCTTCCAATGATTCCTAAGCCAGAATCCATCTCGGTTCAAATTGTCTCTGTGCTTGTATATGTGGATAGCCTCATGAACGAATCTTTCATGGTAGCCAGATGGCTTACAAAGAACCTCTGTCTTGGAGAAGTCAATGTCATGTGAGCCTACTGAATTATAACAATGATCTGCCACGGCCGAGGTGTTGGTCCTACCGTGTTTAAGGTCTGCTTTGTGTTCACGAATGCGGTCCGAGACATGGCGTTTGGTTTCTCCAATGTAACTACTACCACAGAGGCAACTTAGTTTGTAGACACCAGGGTACTGTATGTCCGGAATCACATCTTTTACAGACGGAACCATGTCATGGATTTTAAACCCGCTTCATAATTCTACTCTTCGATATGCGCTGGGTGTACCAGACAGGGCGCACAATTGTGACTTTACTTAAAATCCAAATCTACATTGGGGCCTGTTCATCCATAAAATCCTGATTAGCAAATCTGCGCTAAACTTAGCCCCATTGTCAAACCCAAGAAACCTAACACGTCCATCTAACTTCCTTTTCACTATCCCTAGAAGTTGACAAGAAGGATCACGCCGTGGAATTAAGGAAAGACAACGCAGGAGTGCTACAAAACTTTTGTTTCATAATTTATTGATGACCGCCCAGTGTCCTCGATCACGATCATCGCTAGGAAAGAACGAGACACCTTTTTTCGACTTTGCACTCGTGTAGTTTTTTTTATTTGTCATAACCTGCGGAACCCGCACCTGCTGGACATCTGTGAAAAAAGCTTCATAGCTCATCGGATTCCATCGAGCATACATTTTCTAATTCTATGGGTCTTTCGGTAAAGCCACGTAGATAGAAAAATAATATCAAGACATTTCGATCGCAACACCAGCAATCGTCTTCAGGTGAGCGAGAGAAAGCTGCTGAGACAAGGTCTTATATAGGCCTGAGATGGGTGCATCAAGGTAGGTGGGTGGAGCTAGAGATGGTCCAATCACAGAGGCTGGGGCAGTGGCCTTTGTATTGTGAGAGGTTAGCCTATAGGGCGCCACCAAAGCTGTCGAGGTGGCCATTGTATTGTGTGTAGCCCAAGGGTAAGTGGGTGGGACTAGATATGGTATTTGCATGTAAATGTAAGATCGGAGGGCGCCCTGAGGCTGTGGAGGTGGCCATTGTATTGTGAGAGATTAGCATGTCAATGTAAGAGAACCACCGCAAAGATGGATGTGCTAGTGAGACATTCAGCCCGTTGAAAAAATATACAAAGCCCACTGCCCCAGCCTGTGGTTGGACCATCTCTAGCTCCACCTTGATGCACCCATCTCAGGCCTATATAAGACCTTGTCTCAGCAGCTTTCTCTCTCACCTGAAGACGATTGCTTGTGTTGCGATCGAAACGTCGTGATATTTTTTTATTATTTTTCTATCTACGTGGCTTTACCGAAAGACCCATATAATATGTATTCCTGCAGCTTTAAGTCAAGATACATTTTCTCATTCTGAAAGCATGGCAGTGGAGATCTTCCAGAAGTTGTAGCCATCCAAAGTTGGCAGAATTCTTGCGGAAGCGGTAGACATGCAAAGATGTCAGTGGGTTTCCGGGAGCGGTAGACATTCAAAGTTGGCGGTGGTCTTCCGAAATATTTGATTACGCAAAGTCGCTTCAAATATGACGTTTCTTGACAGAAAGTGACGATAAAAAATAAATATGCGCAACACAGAGCTACATGCGTGCATGACATCACTGCAAAAGAGCCCCCCCCCTTCATTAATATTCATGCCCGTGTGGAAATTTACACTCGGAAAGTGGGTGGGAGTGCTGAGTTAAGCCTCCCCCCCTTAACCTATATATAAACTGCTTCTTTGTTTTCAAAAACGGCTTAACTCAGCCCACCCACCCACTTTCCTTTCTGGCTCCTCCCCCTTAACCTATATATAAACTGCTTCGTTTTCTAAATCGTTTTCAAAACGGCTTAAATCAGCCCTCCCACCCACCCACTTTCCTTTCTGCCCCCCCCTAACATAAATATAAACCCGATCGTCTCAGAGCTGTGCACTTGACACATTCTTCTGTGACTATTCCACCTGAAGACGGAAGCTTGTGTTGCCTCCGAAACGTCGTGATTTATTTTTTTTCTTTTATTTTGTTTTATTTTATCTACGTGACTTTACCGAATAAAACCAAAGAGTACCTATTATTATATTTTGGTACTGGCAAAGGAGGTCTAATGATGTAGGGATTGTAGATGCTATCAGAGTATGTTTTTTGTTTGCATTCTGACCACAAGTATTGTGGTTAATGCAGACATGATTCCATGTAAAAGGTTTCAGTTTGGTGTTTTAACATCTTAACACCTCCGATTTAAAGCTTTCGTGACTGCAATGATTAATCTTCTTTGGTTCTTTCGGTAAAGTCACGTAGAATGAGAATAAAATAATAAATTGAAAAGATAAAATAACAATAAAATTCTCACGTTTTGGCCACAACACAAGCGGCCTTCATCAGGTGAAGGGACGAGACTGTCTGGTAGGACAGCGCTGGAGTGAAAGAGCCACGTTCAGATCACGACCTTTAAGCTGTGTGAGAGGAAACAAAGCACCTTGACAAAGGAATTAGCATATAATTTAGCATTGAATTGGCTGAGTGATTAGCTTGTGACTGGTCACAGAAATAGCTATGTTAAAAGTTAAAGCATAAACATCCGCAGAGGCACCCCTTGACAAAGGAATTAGCATAGAATTTAGCATTGAAATAGTAAGTTAAAGCATACACACCCGCAGAGGCACCCCTTGACAAAGGAATTAGCATAGAATTTAGCATTGAAATAGCTGAGTGATTAGCTTGTAACTGTCAACAGAAATAGCTACGTTAAAGTCAGAGCATACACACTTCACCGAGGCACTTAGTACAAATCAAACAGGAGAATTTAGCATTGAAATAACTAGGCGAATTTAGCATTGAAATAACTGAGTGATTAGCTAGTGACTGGTCACAGAAATGACTATGTTGAAGTCAAGGCCTACACATCTGAGCTATTCACAGTACTATATAGTGAACCAAGTTTTTCATTAAATAATAAAAATAGATTTATTATTATTAAAATAATGAAATATATACATTTTATTATTATTTTATTGTTTATTATTTTATATTTTTATTACTTTATTGTTTCCCTTCTACCTGTTTTGTTGCCGGAAAAAAGGGGAAACCCCTATTCTAATATTTTGGTCCTGGCAAAGGAGGTCCCATGAATGGAGGTGAAAGTTTGAGTCTTCCAAAGTCATATTTTGGTTCTTTCGGCAAAGTCACGTCGAAGGGAAACAATAAAATAATTTAAAAAAACATTATTTATTGTTTCCCTTCTGCGTGACTTTACCTAAAGAACCCAAAGTTATCTTCCAGAAGCGGCAGCCGTCTTCCAGAAGCACCAGTCGCTCAAACCTCCGTAGTTTAATACCAGCAGGTGACGCCAAAAAAACGCGCGCAGATCTTCCGGAAATCACCTCGACAACCAATCACATCGCGCGTTACATCCTCGCGACCCCGAGTGAAATTGACCAATGGGAGCGTGCGACACGGAAAACGGCATTTCCCCCGCCATATTTGTTGTCTAGCGCTAGGCCTTAACTTTAAGAAATGATTTGTTTTTTTTACATTTACCTTGCTCCTATTAACACACATTTAGGCGTTTGTGCAGCAGGTCCCGTGTTTTTTTTTACACCTTTACTTTGCTTTTTATTTGGAGATGACGGAGAAGCAGTCCGTTATTGCGAAGTCGCGCAAGAGAGCGTTCGTGAGGTAAGGCGGGGCGGGCGGGCGGGGCGTCTGAGCGGCTCCCGTTTAATCATTCGGCGCGCTTCCCTCATAATAAGAACGACATCTAATTAAAAATATCGCTATTTACTAGGTTTGTTTGTTCTTTTAAACAAATCTATCAACGACTGCTCGGCGAGTCGCTTCGTGCGCGCACGTGGTAGACGTTTTGTCGCCAGCCCCGAGTGACTGGAGTTGAGTTTCGCTTGTCGCGTCCTAACGTTTAAACAAAGTCAGCAGTACAATTTACTTTCCACGTTGTTGCTTAACGCCTTTACATTATCGCCGCCGTCATTCGCGCAAGGATTAAGGGCGGGTGGCTTACGGAACGTCGTGCAGCTTTCTGTGAACGCAGAATGAAGATTTCGCATTTTCGCGCGTAAAGTTCAAATGAGTGAGTGGAGTGGCAGCAGAGAGTGGGCTCCTTTTATCTAACCACTTCGTCCCATAACCATTGTATAATATATTTAACAAATCTGTCAAGTGTCTAGTACGTAACTAATTAAAATAGCATGTCGTTAATTTTACCGTTTTTTTTTCCCTTTAGCACATTTTCCGTGATTAAATTACGTTTCTTATTTAACCAGTCTCATACCACATTTTTTATGACCAATGTGCCCCATATCCAGAGTTTAACCAACGTATATTTTATGTTCTTTAACCGATGCGCCCCTTGACCATGTTCTTTATTTATCATATTTTGCCTCTTTTACGACTGTAACTGATTTAAAACGTGCATCCTTTATATAGCTACTGCTTTAAGCGCCGAGGCATTCATTTGAATATTCTCCTTTGTTTAGATACCCTGCCGTTCGTAAAGCCGCTGTCCACTGATCGTTGTCTCTTAGTAAACAATGTGCGTGGTTCATTGAGATTCATATTCCATTTCATTTAGCAACTTTGTCGTGTATTTTACCACGTCAAGCGCAGGGGTTGGCAACTTATTTATTCACGATTTACTTACAAAAAATTCCGCAGACTACCTACTGGATCTCCCCTCTGTTTCAAAGAACAAATTTGACCTCAGGTCTTCGCTCATTTACCAGCTTCACATTCCCTATTGCCGTACAAAAACTGGAGGAAGGGCCTTTGCTATTGATGCCCCCAGGGTCTGGAATGCTATTGCCAATAAACTGCAACTTGAATCACTACCTATGAGATCTTCACTCAAAACTGCTCTAGAGGAGTTGTACAACCCTAGCTGCCACTGCTATTCAGTGGCCTAAAATATGGCTCTAGATTTTGGTGTTATAATTTATTTATGTAGTTTATTGTTAAAAAATTCGGTCACAGTCCCTATGATCACTGTTACATTGCATTCATGGCTTTTATTTAGGTGATTTCGAAAACGTTTTTTTGTTTTGGCCATGTTTTTGTTTATTTTAGTACGGAGTTAGACTGATGGCCTTAATCTTAGTTGTCTTGTGGTTGTTGTTATTTGACTTGCATCCCACTGGGATTTTTTGCACACAGCGTTGGTGTACGGTGCTATTTCAGGAATATTTTGATATTTTTTTCCTGTATTTTCTGTTTGCACAGTCACATAATCGCTTTAAGATGTTTTCTTGTTCATGTTTTTTGTTTGTTGCGGTTGCACCCGATTCAAGAGCCGAATGGCTCACATGGCTATACCAAATAAATGAACTATGAACTAACTTGCGGCTCCGTGACGATGTTTATTCAGGACTGTCTCGTATTCACGTGCATTGAGGCTCTTAAAAATATATATATGAAAAATGGCTCTTATTATGGTTGCCGATCCCCGATGTGAGAGATGCATTAAGATTCCCGATGTCTTTTAGTCCTTGCACCGTATGCGGGCCGTTTAAAAAGGAGAACTGTGTTAAAGCCTCATTGAGATCTCTTGCAGTTTAGTGTTCATTAATCTGGTGAAAGCCTTTATTTCAGTCAAACCTGAAGACTTGTGCGGGTTACAGCTCACAGCTGTCCGATTTGTTTAATTTGCTGTTCTGATGAATGTCTGCAGCATTGACGGTGAAGAGGACGAGCAGTCTCGACAAGGCAAAGCAAAAATATTCAGACAAGGTAATGTCTTTCCATACGGGCAGATGGGATGCCTGGAGGTTTAAGAAAGATCAGGGATACTTGGTTGAAGTTTTTTTGCAACGGTGTTACCCTACGGAGTGAGCGGAGGAAACTCAGTGTTGTAACATTTTCAGACGCAATTGTTGAATTTCTGCTGCTATGCACGTCATGCTGATTCTTTTATTTGAGTTGTAATATATTTGCTTCATGCTCAAATATGTTGAGTGAATTTACGTTTCATAACAGGTTTATTAAATGAGGTTTTTTTTGTTGTATAATGTAAACAGCCGCACGTACACTCAGACGAAGCTGTGAACTTATTGCATATGCATTTTCTGCAATACCCTGTAGCCTATAACAGGGGTTCTTTGTAAGCCATCTGGCTACCATGAGAGATTCGTTCATGAGGCCATCCACATATACAAGCACAGAGACAATTTCAACCGAGAAGATGGATTCTGGCTTAGCAATCATTGGAAGCATTTGAGAAACCATTCAGGTCTTAATTTGATTGTTAACGATTATGGTGGCTTTCAGACAGCATACATTTTTCGTCTCCCCCCTCCTCTTTTCAGAACATAGATGGACTCGTCCTTCTAAATAAACTGCCAAGTCGCTGCGCGTGGCGCTGACGTTTTTTAAATAAATTAATGCAAACCGCCACTTCTTTCAAATGTTCCTTGCCGTTGGTTTTTCACACCTGATGATGACCGTTTGTGTTATGGTCGAAACGTCGTGAGAATTTTTATTGTTTTATATATGTTTTGTTGTTTCCCTTCAACGTGACTTTACCGAAAGAGCTAAGAATATGAATTACTGCAGTCACGAAAGCTTTAAATCAAAATTTAACTGTTGTAGTGTTTATTCATAAACACCCCCTTTGGATAACAAATCCAAAATTACATCTTTAATGTGCTATTATTAATCCTTACAAAATAAGACGTTTGAAACAAGCAGTGCCCATCTGGAATAGCAAATTAGTGGGATCAGTTACCAGTGCTAACTTTATACGCATGTGCGACATTGTTCACGTTCACGGGTAACTTTATCTGCTTCAGGGTGTTCCATAAGTAATGTGTGTAGACATGTTCAGCACCTTTTATCAAGCCACTGCTAGATGAGGCCCTCCGCATGCCGTGCAGGTCGTGGTAGTTATTTGGCCATACTTCATGCTCGTAAATGTGTGTTTGTGAAGGTGGGGAGCATGTATGTGGATCCACAGAGGTGCATAACAACAGTAGATTTTGGTAGACTGCCCTTACCAGCCACTGTAGAGTTTGCTGAGTCGGTGCTGTCATTCAAAGACGCACTCAAAGCAAACATTTTCAAAATCCACGAGTGACACGACATTCGTTTCTCATTAAAGTGATCTAATAACTCGTGCAACTTTTTTTTGTTATTTCTCCAGAGCCCTTGTCATGACTTTTTATGTTAGGGCACAATACAAATTGTTTTTGACAAATAAAAATTGCATGGTGGTCATACATGCTGCTGTCGAGCATTATGCGGGCCCAACCCTTCTTTTCTCTGGGCATACGACGAGATCAGGTGCATTCCGTTTGGTTTGATCATAGACAAAGAAGTACAGCAGACGTTAGATACAAGCACACCCCTGGGAAATAAGGCCATGTGTGCTAATATCCGACGTTTGCTTGTAACAGAAGTCTTAACATTGCCTTCCCCCACCAGTGTAATGTAAGGATGTGTTGATGTTGCTTTTATGAGAACTGTGCTTATATTAGGTGTGCTCGGCTTATAATGTAATGTACATACGTGTAAAGTTACATTTTCACGGCTTAAGTCATGGCCAAATTACCCTGTGTGCGCAAAAACCTTGTTATCGTGAAATAAAGTAAGTATGACTTGGGCACTGAACAGCATCTTATCTTTGTACCTCCACAGACAAAATCCTCGAGGGCGTGCGCTTGACCGGCACCTCGGTGACGGATAGCGCCAAACGTCTTGTGTCAGGTGCCGTGAGCTGGATGTCGGCACGTCTCCCAGCCTTCGGCAGTTACCTGTGGCTGCAGTCGTCGGCGCTGATGGCGCGCCGCCCTGTCGGGTTGTCGTCGTTCCCTGGGAGAGTGGAGAGCGATGCGGGGAGCAGTTCGGTGGCGGCACAGTCCGGCACGAGGGAGGACGGGGCGGCACTCGCATCGGTTGCTACGGGTGGAGGCACCACGTCAAGGGGCCTTGCCGCAGATGGACGGCGGCAGAAAGGGGATTTCTTAAACAGCGATTGCAAGACTGTTTTGCATAAGGTAAAAGAAATTATGTAGGTGGCTGTGAGCGGTGCCATATATATATCTACTTGGCACGTTTTTTACCTGCTGCTGTCAACTTATTCTAGTCGGGATAGTTTGATGTGGTTAAGTGACTCGAAGGACTGATGACTGTTTCTACAGTGAGAATTAACTGCTGAGATATTGGGTTTAAATCAAAGTTCGTGGTCTCCAATTAAAACTCTAAATAATTAGTAGCATAATTGTGGAGAATATAAACAAGCTATATAAGCAGACGATAGGTCTCCTTCACATATTTGTCTCCATGCAAAAACATTTTCCAATGTAATAAGTCAGGGATGAGTCAGTGGTTTCAAAAGGCACTGAAGAATAACAACATGTTAATTTGATATATTTTATATTTAATTCAGAATGCTAAAATTTCCACTTGAAAGTTTGTACATTTTAAAATGTTGAGGGGTGTTATTTAATTCTGAACTTGCTTGCCAATTTTTATTTAAGCATTGCATTGTGCAGCATGCTTTCTCGTCTGTTTTAATCCTTAAATTGATTACCAAACATTATCTACCTCTTAAGCATTATCTCAGCATATGTATTGTATCAGTAAAATGAACCGCATTACTTTACAACAGAAATTAACCCACTTTATATAATTGTTAATTATAATATTTGGCATGTTGTGAATGCTTTAATCTTTCAGAGTTGTATTTCATCATCACATATACAAAACAGTTTCCCACCGCTGGGCCAAGCGAGGACAAAAGCTGACTTGGGTGAGTGAGTAACATCAGAAACCATAATCTGTCAGATTGAGGCAGTTTCTATCGCTGTGCACATTGAATCAGTCTTGTTTTCTTTCAAATATGATTGTTAGTAATTCAGCAATGATATTTGTATACATTTGAGGTGATAATAAAGTACATTATGAAAATTTTATATTTTTAGAAATCCATGAGCCGCCAAGACACACCACCACACCTTTGCAAATCAAAGTGTTGTCAACCCAAAGAGAGCAGACCAACTCTATAGGCAAGTAATAAATTGTTGGGAAAAAAAAACATTTTCTGTCTAATAAATCCTGTCGGCATGAGGATTTGTAAGAGTGGCGGTGTTGTTGACTTGATATTGGGGTGTTGTGTTTTTTTTCTTCCAGGTTATTGGGGTGACGCAAAGCCAGTCGTGAGCAGGAACCCCATTCAGAGAAATAAGTTGTACTCGTCAGGGAGCCACGTTTACCAGTCAAATAAAACTCCAGTGCATAATCACTTGAATCACTCCACCCACAGGTAAGAGCAACTACGTTCATGCTTTTTTGTGATATCTCATGTGTTTCAAAGTTGGTGATTTAAAACAACATTTGCACTTGTGCCTAAACTGCAGGATGTCAGACAGCAAACCAAAGAGTTCAGAGAAGCAGCCACAGCAGCACCAGCCACCGCAACCACCAAAAGAGAATCCATTCAAGTCTGTGTACGACAAGGCGTTTTCACCAATCCCACAGTCCACGCGTTCTACGCAGACGTCTCGCTCTTTTATACCTAAGGGCACGAATCGCCGATACCCAACCACACTGCACCAGGTAATGCTTCTTTAGCCTTTCACCCTGCAGCAGGGGTGGGGAGGGAGCCCTTTCCTTCATGAGGGCTGAATAGGACTTTAAAAGTTCCTTTGGTGGACTATACATAAACACACACCGCAGTCACGTCTATCACTGCAAGTTTCCCTTGCTAAAACATTTTTATTTGTGGAGACACGAAACGGAGTGCGACTTATATATGCTCATGTGTGCGATAAGAGGGAAAGTCGCACATTGGGGCTGCAGATACTGACTCCCACGAATGCTCATCGTGTGTGACGGACATCCCCCCCAACACATCGCAGATAATCCGACACGAGGAGCACAAGAAGTACCAGCAGCTGGTGGAGATGTACAGCTCAATGGGACGGGGGGACTCCATGTCATTGCCGTGGCTTCGGCCTCTTCTACCCAGCAATGGCACGCTTGGCAGTGGCAGTGCCCTCTGCTCTCCATCCAATTCCACCGTGGCATCCTCCGCAACGTCCCCCCGTGCCGATGAAGAGTCACCCCGAGTCAGCCCAGAGCCACACGGGGCCCAGAGATTGGAACAGTCATCAGCCTCACACTCAACAGGTGAGCTTTTATTGTTATCGGGCGTATGGTGTAATTCAGGGGTGGGGATCCTTTTACTTACTGAGGGCCGAATGGGACTTTGACTGCAAGAGGGCCTTCAAATTAAAAACATAGTGGTGCCATTTTTTTAAAATATCCAATTCGTGTTGCTTAGATGCTTGTAGTGACGTATACATTTTGTTTGCGTGTCGCTTCACAGTAATGTGGCCGTGGGCCGTATTAAACCAAGCCGTGGGCCATATATCTGGGCCATGGGCGATAGGGTCTTCACTCCTGGTGTAATTAAACAAAGCAGTGGACTGTTTAAGATTTAGTTTGGTGGATCACACATGAATGTTGTGCTTTGTTCTAAACAGGGTCTACAAGCTCGGATTCTCTCATCTTTGTGAAGATGTTCCCACCTAAGCCGATGAAACCAAGGTTGGCACTGCACTGACGTATTCATCAGTTATCAATGTCTTGTTTGGTCTCTTTATTTCATTAGTTTACATTGGTTGCACATCCATAATCACTGAATCACACTGCATTTGGTGTCATTGACCCATGTTCAGCTGGACATTGTGGAAAAATTAGGAAATGACGTTTTACAAACTTTTATTTGATTTCTATGTATAGCTGTAAGGTTGTTTTATTGTTTTGCACATATTAATCTTGTTGAATTTTTATACTTAGTTTTTTTCCTGCAATGAGATATTGAAACACTCCTTTGTATCCCAGAAAGAAAGATCATAAGAAAAACATATCTTACTGGCTACAAAGTTTATAACTTTATGACAATGAAAATTGGTCCCTTTGAATTATTTAATGTATCACACAATTAAGATACATTTATATAATGTCACGATTATAGGCACCGGTGATTGCAATAGTAGATTATTTGCGCGTTTTGTCTTTCCAGAATTTACCTTTGATTTTTTTTTCTATTGTGCACAGCTTTTCAGCCGTCCTTCAAAACAGTCTCACCGAGTCTGAACAGTGGCTCAAAAACATGTAAGTGTTGTTTTGTAGTTCTCTCTCATATGGAAACACTATTATTGAGATCTTCAGTTTACAGAGGCAGTTCATGTGTTGTACTTGTGTTATTTAGTGTCCTGGCCAAGGCTATAAAAGTGTACCTTCTACAAATATCCATAATAGTTTTATTTTGTATCATTAGCTAAACATTTGTGAACTATATTGCATACATAATTACGACAATAGTGGTCACAGTGTGTTTTATTAATTAGTGTCATTCCAATCATTAACATTGTTTGGAATTCCACGTATAAAGTTGGTTCAAATGAAATGTTGAACTTTAACAGCGTTTGACTGCAACTGTGATGTTATGCAGCATCTGTTATGAACGGGCACGTTTGTTTTTGCAGAAAGAGTAAATACGATGGCATCACCAAGGATAAAGGCCGACACATCTTGGAGGAAACAATCAAGTCCCAACTTTATGAGGAAAGGGTATGTCATGGTGTAAATATTCTTGGGTCTTTCGGTAAAGTTACGTTGATAGAAAAAAAATAAGCAATTGTCATCCTGATGACGATTGCTTGTGTTGCGATCGAAACGTGATTTTTTAAATTATTTTTCTATCTACGTGACTTTACCGAAAGATCCAAGAATATGAATTCATACAGTCACGAAAGCTTTAAGTCATGGTGTAAAGTTGCTTATTTCACGTGTGTCCTGTATTCAGTAACGTATTAGTATATTGCTCTAAGAGGGATTTTGGTCATAGTGAAACAGCCCCACTACCACCTATTGTCCCCACCCACGACTACCTAGTTTGTTGTTGTCCTTCCCCCGCACCGCCTATTAGCAAGGTTGGCTACGTATATATACACATAGTTGAGCACGCACACACTCCCTGCCCTCCTTCCACAACCACCACCACTACCCAAACCAGCCCAACACTGTCTGGAGGAAGGGGTGGGGCCAAAACAGAAAAGGGTGGGGCCTAAAGATGAAGGGGAGGAGCCTAAAAAGGAAAGGTGCCGGGGCCTCAGGAGTAAGGGCATAGGGGAAAAAAAGGAGGTGAGGACTAAAGAGGAAGGGGTGAGACCAAGAGAGGTTCAACTTCTCTGTTTTAACATCCAGAATAGAGGTTTACAATTAGAGTACTCAAATTGTAAACGTACTGGAATTGTAAATGTTGTGGACCTACTCTCCAACACACCTGTGTGCTGTACTAGTAAGGAATTGCCATTTTTTGTTACGTGACAAACCTTACTAATTGGCTGTGTCGGGTAGCGGCGGTTTAACGACACATTTATTTTTACACGATCTAACCCAAAAAAAACCTCTTAGAAATAATGTTGGTCGCGAAAGCCTATGTGTTAAACTGATTTAAAGTCCATATGACCATATAATAAAATACTTGCAGCAGGCAGCATACCTTTAGTGCCGCATATGTGGCCACAGCCCAAATAGTTATTAATCATGCACCTTGTTTTTCCTTGTCGCAGTTGGGCCTAAAACGGTCTTTTTATGGAAAACGATCAAGAAGTAAAGCTACTTCGTGAAAGAATGTCTTTACTCTTTTGCCCCCGACACTAACGTGCAGTGACCTACTCTTTAGAACAAAACGCTAAATAATAGTAAACTTAAATTAGAAAATGAAGGAAGTTTCATGCTGTCGGAGGTCAAGGTTCTGGGCTGGCTCTGCTCAGGTTAAACTGGCTTTTCAAGTGTAGCACGTTGATGTTCTCAACACAATCACCAATGACTGCACAATAAATAATCTCATTAATCTGGTTTCTGCATTTAATTAGGATACATTTCAGCTGTGAGTGTTAAATATCAGCTTAACTATCATGCAATTAACATGACTGTCAGTGGCAGGATGGATGGGAAAGTACTGCCTCTTACTTTATGGACCTCAGGTTACTTGAAGGGTGCTCAAAAGTACTGGGGTATCCGCTTATATGGGTTTTATAACACGAAGAATCACACTAATCTGAATGAACACTTCGCCAATGGCACAATCGCAATTTGTGATTCATAATTACTTAAATATAAAACACGAGATGCAGGTAATAGGGCAGACGGGATAAAGAGAGACCAAACATGACATGGAATGGTGTAGAGGAATTAGATATGGGGAAAGTTGACATGACTTGAAGAGGTACAGAATAGAACACATGGGGGCAGGAAAATTGCAGCAGCTGACCCCATGTGACAATGGATTTTTTTTGTAGAAGGAAAAAAAAGAAGAAAACAAATGGGAAGTGTGATATAAAGTTGTTTTTTTGGGGTTTTTGTCTTTGTAATGCACGTGCTGGAATGCCACAGAGGGCCCAGCAGGAGAAGGACCTCTCCGAGCAGATCCGGGAGCGGCTGCTGCTGGCGGAGCGGGCGCCGGCGGTGGTGGAGGAAATCCCAGAGCCCGAGCACGTGGAGGAGGAGCGAATCGAGGACGTCGAGTTTCCTCCGCTCACCGAGGTGAGGCACTGGCCTGGCCCGGTGCTCGATTGAGCCTCATTGCCACAGTCCAGTTTTTCACGTTATCAGTTTCACTCAACTTGCTTTATGAAACAAAAATGACATGAGTCGCAATTGCAAAATTATCCTGGATCTTATGTCGACCGATATATAGTATTGCCGTATTACGGAAACCCTCCAATCGAGTTGTTGAGGGGACCGAGCGCTGCGAAGGTGAGGAGATAAGTTTGTATTTCTCACAGGAAATGGAGGAGGAGATTGATCGGGCGTTTGGCTATGGGAGTACGGACGAAGTGCTGTCCGAGGCTTTCCGTTTATCCATCACGCGGAAGGACATCAAGACCTTGCAGCACCTCAACTGGCTAAATGATGAGGTGGGATGAAAGAGGTTGTATTTAGAGCTGGTAATTTAGTGCATTTGTAATATATGTGCATGTATATTATATTTGTGTATATTTTGATTGTATATACTTAATATTTCTGTTTATTTGTATGCGTAGTTGTAGCCATATATGTTTAATAATAAAATGAATGTATGCTAAGATTAGTGGGAGAAACATCCCCCAAGCTATCATGTGGCCCTGATTTGTTCTGTTGCAACCCAGTGCCAATCGCAAAATTTGTTAATTTTATGCATTTGCTCTGTCCATTCGTCTGTTCATAACGGGAAGCATTATAACTCATAAAAAATATCCGATATAATATAAATATTAGTATATAATTGTGTTGCTCTTTGAGACTTAGCCTCTTGAAAAATTGCCAAATTAATCAAAGGGTTGTCCAAAGCTTAAGACACAAACAACAGAAAAAAATATTAATTGCTAATATGTCAACGTATTTTCCCTGACCGATCGATACCCGTTAGCTTCAATACTGCTAATTAAATAGATCCAAAGATAACACATGTAGGCAACCATTACATAAATCCATGAGTATGCATTAGTTTTTAGTAGTGCTTGGCCACTTGACAAGGCCAAGAGTTCCCTAGAGCAACATACAGTTTGGCTGTTAATTCTAGACACTTTCCACCACAACCTTATACCCCACTAACCAATTCAACACGGTAGCTCCAAAAAACAAAGCAATTAAATGCCACCAACCTGTTTTATCCTGCACGCTTTCCTCCCTCTGTGTGACCCTTCCCCCCCCTGTAGGTTATCAACTTCTACATGAGCCTCATAATGGAGCGAGGCAAAGGTGAGGGCAAGGCCACGGTGCACGCCTTCAACACATTCTTCTACCCACGCGTGAAGAGCGCCGGCTTCCAGGGGGTCAAGCGATGGACCAAGAGGGTGGACGTCTTCCAGTTTGACCTCGCGCTGGTGCCTATCCACCTGGATGTGCACTGGTGCCTCGCCGTACGTGCCGTCCACTTCAATAACAATGTTCATCTATTAATTTAGAAACACCTCGCTAAAGTTTGAGAGTCTTTAGAGGATGAGTCTTGTATCGGGATTTTTTTTCTCTACCAGTTACTTTGAAGTTAGTCTCGTCTCTTGGAGGATACCAGAATACTCTGTTAAAACCACTGTGCTTCAGCAGTTTTTTTGCTGTGGTTGTCTCACCTGATGACGATTGATTGTGTTGCGATCGAAACGTCCTGATCTATTATTTTTTCTACCTACGTGACTTTACCGAAAGAACCAAAGAGTATGGACCCATGTGTGTGAAGAGAATGCTCAAATGTCTGCACAAACAGATTTATTAACCCATCTTAATGCATTACCATCACCTGGTCATAGCCTCGGCCCATTGAGTTTTGGAGTTTAGTAAACCTATGTGTCCCATAATGCCATGTCACCAAAGTGCTGGATTGCAAGTTTGTGCCACTATACACTGGTAACTAAATGCTATTTGAGTTCAAATTATCCCACAGTTATAAAGTGTCAAAATGCAAATATCTGAAGTTGTAATGTGGAGACATGCATATTGAGATTATTTAGAGATGAACATTTTGTTAGGATATTTTTTTAAGAAATGAGGGGAAGAATGCTTCAGGGTATAGAAGGAAAGGAGTATATGATCAGTTATCGGCGCACTCCCTATACGAGAACAGTTAGAGATAATCGGTAGTATCTCTATTCACATGGAGGGAAAACTGTTCTCAGAATCCGAGGATGATGTACTAATCTATGATACGATATTTATAATTTAGTTTAATGCCAAAGGGATGTATTCTCAGATGCTGTAGCATGTGGTGGTAATTCCATAACCTCTGACCACATGTCCACGTTTAAACATTTTCATAAAGGAATTCTGAATAAATTAACCCTGAACGACCAGTCATTTCTGTCATCCCCTGCAGTATTTTTGCTGCAAGCTGCATTTGCTGTGTGTTTCATAATGTTACGGGGCCTCAAGAGGTATATAATTGGCCTTTCTGGGACATCGTAGGTATCGTTATTTGTCCTGGGGTGGCTGGAATTCAAACAAAAACAATGAATTTTGTTCCATGTAGTACCATGGTGGCCTTATAATTGCACCAGTGTAAACACAACACCAATATCGTGCCATTATCTCTAAACAAACGTATGGGTTTTGCCAATTGTGACTCATTTTATGTTGTGCTAAATTGTTTTCCTCAAGTAATAGAACCTCAAATAAACTTAACGGTTATAAGGAGCACAGGTCATTATAACGTGTTTTTCTCTCTCAGGCGATCAACTTCAAAAAGAAGACCTTGACATACTACGATTCCATGGGCAATAGCAACAATGAAGTCTGTAATATCTTGATGTGAGTGAGAAACTGGAATACATGTTGATACTCAAAACCATTGATATTTTTGTAGAACTAGACTTGTGTGACTACAGCATTCCCGACAACTGCCAATTAACTACCTCGTATGGTTGTGCTGAGAATTCCGATAAAATTCAAAACTTCTTTAGTAATAATTGTCGTGTTTTGTAACGTCACACAAACTCTCGTCTGGTTTCACCATTCGGCGCTCTTCATTATACGTTTTTTATTCATTGCCTTTAATTTAGCAAGGTTAAAAGAGCCCACTGAAATACCGATATATGCAAAGCTACTGTTTGACATGGCAGTACGGTGTGAGTATAATAACCTTTTTCCCTGCAGGCAGTACCTCAGGGAAGAGAGTAAGGATAAGAAAGGACAGCCCTTTGATATCACAGGCTGGAAAACATACAGCATGAAGCCGAATGTAAGTTACTTTTGAATTGTAATTAATGAACTTATGTTCCTTATGTCAATTTGAGAAGTGTTGTGCTCGGTGCTCTCATTAAATGTAGTGAATTATTAAATACCTTCTTGTCCTTTACCAACATTGCCGAAATGCAAAAACACGCAACAATGCTTTTATGTGAACGTGTGCTGTTACTCTTCTAGTTTAAATTAATGTATTAGCTAAGATGAAAGACAAGTGGGTTGCATTCACTTTCGCAAGGGACGCTTTGTATTGTATTAATTAAATTGTTTGTATCACTGGCTTAAAGTATTAATTAAAATATATTATTGAGTAAAACAGGCGAACTCAAATGCATTTTATCAAACTTGCAGGAGATCCCCCAACAGATGAACGGGAGTGACTGTGGCATGTTTGCCTGTAAATATGCAGACTACATTACCAGGGAAAAGCCCATCACCTTCACACAAGTAAGCATCTCCAGATGAACCATTGCTGCCTTTTTTCAATTCTTAATATCAAAATGTTAAATGGCTCATGTAATTATTTTTACCGTGTGACTTTACTGACTACTGGCTCTGCCCAATCCTTTTGTATTTCTCCTTGACCAGTCTTTTTTTAAAAGTATTTTTCTGTACGTGACCCCTGCTAATGCATTTAATTGCATTTCCTGTATTTACAATGATGTTTTAGGCACTGCATTGGCACATGGTGTATCCGTTATAATGAGAGGAAATGGTTGAGGAACATACTTAACTAACCAATGTATTAACTTAGACATGGAAAATATTTTTTTGTATTTTAAGCCTGTGTCAAAGTATGTTACCTTTGCAATGCAAATGTTTTAATATTGTTATTCGTTTTCCAGCAACATATGCCGTACTTCAGAAGAAGAATGGTTTGGGAAATAATTCATCAGAAGCTACTCTGAGTCCCCTTGCTGTGGGTGGAGCGTCCTCCTTTCGCATGCCCTCCATGTGCCCAGTGGAAGATGTCGCTCATTGCATTGCGGTGCACAAGGCACAGTGTTTTATGCTGTGCTTGCATTTTCTGTGTACTAAAATGTCGTGAGAATTGATATTTCTGTAAAAAAAAATGCTGTACATATTGTATTTTCATGGAAGTGCTTCATTTTGGGAGTCTTTTAAACATTTCTGGCATCACTTTGATTGAGATATAAATGAGTGCAGGGTTTGTAGTTGAGTTTAGATCTTTTTTTTTATATATATGCAAATAATTTTCTACGGTTGTAGGCATAAATATTAATCTCGAAAGGAAACATGTCTACTGGGTCATTAATATATTCGAGAAAACCGTTGAGGTTGAAAACATCAATCGATCTCCATCGTTACTTTATTGGTTTCTATTTTTGTTCAACTTAGAATTCAAATTCAGTTTAAAGTCAACATGAAGCGTGAATACAATTTATTGCAATATGCAATGGTTATCGGATCTTTGGAAATGTTAACGGGGGTACACAGTGTAGGCACTCCTTCATTAAGTATTTGACAGGAAACGTTGGATTACCCTCTATTGTGCTGTGTTATTTTTCAAAGACGTTTAATCCAGTATTTAAAAAAAGGTTTTTGATTGTACTTTTACAGTCAAACTTTACACAAACTGCACAATTACAATTATACTTTCTTTTCATCTTATTACCAAGTTTCGATAATTACTTTATAAAGCATTTCATAGAAAATAAGTGATGTAATGCAATTAAATTAAGCTTAATTAAAATGTTTTACTGTGGGAACTAATTTATATTCTTTACATAAGGCACACTTTCCACTGAAGTTGTGTTACTGTGGGCAATACAACGAACATTCCAAAAGAAATACAATAAGTAAAGTAGGAACAGGGAGGCACAAATGAGTATAAATAGTTTATTTATGTTCATACTGTGTAGTCACATGTATATTTTTTGTATGTTATCTCATTCGTTTTCTTTTTTTGCTAATGGAGAACGAGTTGATACTTTAAATGTGTTTTACACGTTATGGTGTCTCGCTAAAGTGTTTGTACACGTGTGTGTCATTGTTGCCATTGAAGACTTGTACTTTTTACACGAAAACGACATTAAATATATAATAAATGTATATTGTGAAAAATAGACTAACAGTGGCACTTGCTCAATTGTCCCATGCATTGAAGCAGAAGTATTCGGATACAATGTTTAACTGAAAAGTTAAACGTGGTTTCATATAAAATGTACACGACAATATTGTGGCATGTATATTATAAATAGGTGTCAACTTGTCATTCAGCAGAGGAAACCAACCATAAGCGATATACATGCCAGTGGCAGACACTGCAAGGCCCATGGAAAAACCGTGCCCTCTGACTTTTGGTGTTCCTCTGCAATGAGGGTGGTTTAATTATTCCAGCAACCAGTACAAACCACACGTACCAATGGTATGGCCAGGGTATAGAGTTGGGGGACATGGCTCGGTCCCCCAGAGACGAATACAGTGTTTTCATAATATAACGAGTCACATGAATCCTGAAAATAGGAGCTGAACTGAATTCTAGCAGTGTGTTTCATATTCTTGGTTCTTTCGGTAGTCACTTAGAAGGGAAACAAAATAATAAAAATATAAAATAATAAAATTCTCACGACGTTTGGACTGCAAGACAAGCAATCATCAAGTGTGACAACCACAGCAAGAAAATTTGAAAAAGTGGCGGTTTTAACGAAAATAATGGATGCGGTCTGAAAGCCACCGTAAGCGTGAACAATCAATAAAGACCCGAAATGGTTGATCAAATCCTTCCGATTATTGCTAAGCCAGAATCCATCTTCTCGGTTGAAATTGTCTGTGTGTATGTGGATAGCCTCATTAGCGAATCTCTCATGGTAGCCAGATTACTTGCAAAGAACCTCTGTCTTGGAGAAGTCTGTCATGTGAGCCTACTGAATTATAACAGTGATCTGCCACGGCCGAGGTGTTGGTCCTACCGTGTTTTAGGTCTGCTTTGTGTTCACGAATGCGGTCCGAGACATGTCGTTTGGTTTCTCCAATGTAACTGCTACCACAGAGGCAACTTAGTTTGTAGACGCCAGGGTACTTTATATCTTTTACAGACGGAACCAGATCACGGATTTTATGTAATGTGTTGAATCGGATCTGTAAAAGATGTGATTCCGGACATACAGTACCCTGGTGCTAACGTTAAAAAAAACCGCCACTTCAAATTTTCTTGCTGTGGTTTTCACACCTGATGATGATTGCTTGTGTTGCAGTCGAAACGTCGTGATAATTTTATTGTTTTATATTTTTTTATTTTATTGTTTCCCTTCTACGTGACTTCACTGAAAGAACCAAGAATATGAATCCCTGCAGTCACAAAAGCTTTAAATCAAAAGTGTGTTTCATGTTCAACAAAAGTTCTCAAAATTAAGGCCTGTGGCAGAATTATGCCATGTCAGTAAAGGGGGTTGACTATACTTTACCACACTGATCAGTGTGGTTTGGGGAAGTGAGAGTGGCTTCCAAGGATGAGTTCAGATATAATTCGACACGTTAGCTACAGCTGGCAATTGAACTCGGGACTGTCGAAGATGAAGACGGGGCAACACTTTTTTTAAGAGAAAAAAGTTGAAGTATTTGAAACAAGACCGATTCACCAAAGAAAACAGTGGATAGGGCTTCGTTCCACGCGGTCACATTTGTGGTGACGAAACGGAACTGAATACCAATTTTAAGGCAGCTTGTCCCCGGTGAGCGGGAACACTGGTGCTCCTGTACCCAATTATAGCAATCATTTTAGCGTTTTCCTTAAAGCTTTGTACAATAAATGAAAATTTCCGTAATATGCACATTCTAAATGATAGACGCATACGTTTAATTTTGTTGGGTTTTCGTATTTGTAGTTAATGGTTTTTATTCAGTGTTGCTTTGATCTGTTAACATTCACTCAATTGTTGCTTTAAATATAATTGATTGTCATTGATATTTTTCCCGACTGAAGTGCACTAATGGTCAAACTCAAACTAGTACCGTACATACAAAAGACTGTACCAAATGCGAAATTATTTTAGCCTCCAAGCTTTTTTCATTTAATAATATTCAGAAGAAAAACACATAAAATTCTCAATAATACAGCAATATAATGGAACATATGTAGATTAAAACCAGTCTTTTTGGTGTTAAGCAACGTGAAATTTCAATTGCGAACGTACGTTTAAAATTGGCAAGACATAACGCAAAGGTAGAATTACAGCTGAAGGGTCCGATTTCATGTTGGGATAATTTCGCACGCAGACGAGCCGTATCGAGACCCTTTGAAGGCGCTCTGATACCACAATGGCTAAATCAGTCCTCCCAACCGCAAATACTTTAAAGACAGTCATCCCCGCACATCATTGATCTGCTATCAAGTGCGTCTGGCCGTCGAGGTTTGCAGCAAGTATATAAGAGAATAACATTTGAACCTTAGGGGCCGTCCATAAATGACGTCACGCACCTAAGGGGGGGAGGGGGTCAGACATTTGTGACCAGGGGGGGTTTGAGAAATGTGACGTCACATCCAAATTGCGCAACTTTAAATAAATATAAACAACACGTTCTACTTAATTAAATATAATTGTTATAACAACATTAATCTTGATTAATTTTCATTATTAACTATTTGATTATTTTAATTTACTAAGGTCACCTTTTATTTATTCCATGAAGAAGCATTTTGCTTCTCCATGGGAGAATGGAGAAGCATACATTTTGTATTTTTTTGAATGATTATTATTAAACATTTCGATTTTAATGATTCTACCAGGGCTTTTCATTCTGTGGAATGAATATGTGATTGTTATAATTGTACTCTCCATTTTTCTTCGTTCTTCTACAAAGTTTCAAGTATTTTTTATAGTTATAATTACTTTTTATATTTTATAATTATAAGAGAATTTTAATATACTATTCTGAACATCTGCAGTTTTAGTTAGACGTTGAATATTTTCAAGTGAATTTTTTCTCAATTTCAGCTTTCCAACGCCTTTTTAATAAATGTTTTCTCCAACATCAGAGTGCAGCGCCACATTAAATACGAACTACAATGACAATTTTTTAAAGTTATTTGAAGCATATTTTATTTTCAAAATGGGAATATGGTTGGGGGGGGGGGCAGACCTTTGTGACGTCATATTTGAAGGGGGTCTAACTTTTTGTGACGCCGCGTGACGAGGGGGGGAGGGGGGGTCAAAAATCGGCCAAAATCGCGTGACGTCATTTATGGACGGCTCCTTATGACGGGACCCCGGGGTCTCGAATAAACGGAAGTCAAAATCGTATTTGATTAACAATTTTTTTGCGACTCCGTCCCACCGCGCACATAAACGCAGTGACCCACCTGGCGCGGATCATTCTGTTGTCACGTCGTTCAAGCGCAGCAGCAGCGAGGACAAATGCGCATAAGAGCTGAACAAGCGAATGCATTCAGTGCTCAGGTATGGGCAGGGATCATGAGTCTTATCCAAAGCTGCTCAAACTGCCTACACGACTTAAGTCCTTTATTTGTCATAACGGTATGCATAATACAGTGAAACTGCTCTGTTATCTTCATTATTATTTGTGACCTACCCATGTCTGCAGCCAGGATCAATCGATGGCAATCCTAATACTGTACCTGCAGATATTTAACAGATGAGATGCGTTGCACCGTTAATTCCTCCTAATTTATAATACTTCTCTTGTCCGTATGCATCTGTGCAAATAGGTTTTTTTTTGGGGTTAAGCCATAGTCCCCACATACCGCTCGTATCCGTGCGGATAAGAGGAGCGGCGACCCACTACTCTGTAGATTAACATTGGTTTTAACGCTTGTTACAATATGAACAGCGCATTGAAAACTATACTATTTTCTGTACTGTTTACAAAGTGTGTTCACAAATCCACAGTGAGAAACACGATGATTGACAGAGGGGTGTAAGTACATTTTTCGATAGTGTATTTAAATATAGGTACTGCAGGTAAGTAGTTTTCAGTTTTAAAGGCATAGTTTAACAAGACAACACTTGCCACCATCCTTCAAACTCATTGGTGAAAAAGAGAAAAGTTTTTGTTGACATAATATAATGTTTATGCGAGAGCCGGGGGCTTATGGTACCCTGGGTTCCTGCCATGAGGTTCATTTGATCATCATCGGCCATGATCAATCCACTGCTGGGTAAACGCCTTCCCAAGTTATTGCCATCTCAGAGTTCTGCAATATAGTGTGTCTGTGTCAGTCTATGGGTCTCTGTGAGTCTATGTGAGTCAGCTGTTTCCGTGTGTCTCTATGTGAGTCTGTTTGTCTCTGTATTTGTCTGGAAGTTGGAAAGCTTGCCAAAAAAAACCCACGTGACCACGGGAAATCCATAAATTTTAAGCTTCAGTCATCAACAAACAGCATGTAAAATTTACTAATACACGTCTAATCTTGATTTGAAGCTTTCGTAACTGCAGGAATCCATACACTTTGGTTATTTCGGTAAAGTTACGTAGATATAAAATAAAATAAATCGCGACGTTTCGGGCGTGATTTATTTCCCACCTGATGACGGACGCTTGTGTTGCGCCCGAAACGTCGTGATTTATTTTATTTTATACCTACGTGACTTTACCGAAAGAACCAAAGAGTAATACACGTATACTTTCAATTTAAATATTCACTACACATGGAGTACAATCGGTACATGTCAATACACCAAAACCTCGCCCATCGCGAATTTGACCATTCGCGTCAAATGTATTGAGGCACAAGTTCGCCGATCGTGCGCCCTGTGGCTTGACCATTCGCAGTGGCCCGCAAAATGTTTTAATAAAACACCTGTTTTAAAGCCAGAAAGGTAAAAAAAACTATTCCTATTTTTTCATACTTTGATACTGGCAAAAAGGTCCCATTTTGTAGCTGCTCAACCCGAGCTCTCGATGCTCGAATAGTGCATTGTCCGTGTACTGGTCGCCTTCAAAGTCTTTGAACCTGATTTGCCTACATTTTAATCAAAGACAATGCGTACATTTTCATAGCATGTTCGTTTACATGTTCACCACCAGTACGTGGTTAATGCGAACTTGATTCCTTACAAAATGTTTCTATTTGGCGTTTGAACATCTTAACACCTGTTTTTATTGCCA